GAGAGAGAGAGAGAGAGAGAGAGAGAGAGAGAGAGAGAGAGAGAGAGAGAGAGAGAGAGAGAGACAGACAGACAGACAGGAAACGATAGAAAGAAAAGTGGAAGAAAGACAGTCAAAAAGATGAAAGAGATAACGCCCCGGCCTTCTCATAACCTCCTATTCATGCATGAGCCATTGGTGTTATTGGCACCTCTGGTGCATGCAGACCTCTGGCGGAGTCAGACCTCCGTTGCTCTGCTAGGCCTCACTCAACTCGGAAATATGCGGAGACGGAAGAGTAGAGAGATAAGATAAGCGCGATCATGATCGAGATCACGCTAATCGAAAATCAATATGAGAGGACAGACACGCGCATATACGCGCTAATCCTCTCGTCACATTTAGGTCACATTCGCAAGAGAACAACTATGACGAGGGTAAACATCACGCGACTAGTACTTATGCACAGGAGGGACGCTCGCACTGACCTAACAGACAAAAAGGTTTGTTTTAAAAATTTACCGACAGACAAAAAAAGTTTTATAAAAATAGCACGCATTGGTACACAAATACACGGATGTATTACTCACGATTTGTACATGCGCTTGGTTAATCTCAATTATGCCAAAACTAAATCGATGATAGGAGTTTTTATTATAGCGACCGTGGACTGACATCCCTATGGTCTTCGAGGACCTCTTCAATGGCTTATCATTTCCCAGGTTAGTTAGGTTTTCCCAGCGGCTTATGGAGCCAGTCAATCCGGAGCGCACTTAATATAATTACCTATCAATCGTTGTACACATTGAAATAACACGGACGCTAAAATCATTCATGGATGTTATAATTCTTCATCATCACACGAAGACAGATCAGCCAACAGGATTCGGATTATGTCTCTGATCTATCTATCAAAAAATCCCCCCCGCCCCCGCGCCCATTACAAACGCAGACGTCTCACACGTGATTTTGAACTGCCTGATGAAAGTAAAAGGCAACAGTCAGATAACATTGTTGACGAAAATTGAGAAAAACAAACGTGATAGCTAGCTATCACGTCTGTGTTTTTCTCAATTTCGTCGAACTTAATCTCTAGATTAAGTTAAGTATATAAACAAAATATTACGATATCGCTTATCAAATTTAACGCCGGATTCATTCAGATTCGTTCATTGACGCGGCCGTTGGACTTTTTTCTTTGGCGCAGCCAACGGTTATGTTTATAGAGCAGTAGATTGTATACAATAGAAGCAAGAGCTAATAATAATCATTAGCTCTTGATACAAGGTGTATGTTTGTTTCAATATACACGTCGAGGTCAGACCTCGGGCAGAAGTGCGAAGTCACTGCAGTGGAAATTTACCCACATATGCTTATAGCTATACGTGCAAAGAAAACGCGATGCAGCTATGATGCCAGAAGAGCAGACATTCCAAACCTAAATTATAATTATACACTATAATTTGTACACTCGACTGAGCCAGGATAAAAATCGAAAAACAAGTTACAACCACATACGCTCGTATCTAGCAGATTATATTATTTCAGATAGTCTAGGAATATTAGCACCACCGAATTCAGGGTGTTTGACTCAATAGAAAATGCACATCACATAAGGAAAGTAGTGGTTTTTTGGTACCCACCCATAGATTATAGTTTATCAATCATACACACATGGTTATAGTGACTGTATATAGTAGACATGCATGCACGAGTGTCAAACGTAGGTTCAAAAACATTCAAACAGCTTAAAAACACACACTTGCACCAGAAATAAGAATTATGCACAAATAAATGCATGGTTATTTTGGAGATGCTGCATGGAATGTCGTTTATACACACGCACGCACGCACGCACGCACGCACGCACGCACGCACGCACGCACGCACGCACACACACACACACACACACACACACAACTTTCGATCTATCACTCAGTCATTGTGCTTTAGGTGTGTGTCATAGGCGCTACACAACGATTGGTTTGGCCAAACCACCATTTATTCTAGTAAGCAAGGTCATACGTGAACAACAATGTTAAAGCATCATAATATAATAGTAATGGCTGCTTGAACTACAGCTATTCTACTTTTATACTTTCAGAACTGTATCTAAGACTGCTAAGTACAAGAAAGTTCTAAAATTAGGTAACTGATAATGACTCATCACATTCACTATGCATGCATGCACAAACATTAGTAATACAAAATTGCCACGAGCCCACTAGGTTGTAGTCAGTGCCACCTAGTGACGCAAATACATACCTACTGTACTATTATGACGCAGCATTAATTTGTGGTGGTCAACTTTAGTGCTCAAGGTCCAATCACATAACAATAAAGAGGCAGACCAATAATCACAGACCCGATATATTATATTAGCTATGATATCTCCCAAATTTTCACATGATTCTTGACTTGCATTCAAGGTTCTTGTCTCGTCACTGCGTTTCCAATGAAGATGAGGAAGGCGCTGCCAGGGCACGTTTTTTCATTATATATCGGTAAAAACTCGGCAAGAGGAAATTCAGGTAGATAGCAGCCTTTGGCTTAAAGCCAGCAATGATGACATCATCACGTTGCCAGGCAACCGCTTCCAGTATTCGCTGAGCTGCCGTGCGTGGTGCCATTCCTCCAGCAGTTGTCTTATCCATCTCTGCCAATAATTAAGTCAAAAAATACAATATTAAAGTAATCACAGGTGGGTGCCATCAGTTAATCTCAAGAAATTTTCACACTAATTACTTCACGACATTATCTGCCTGTAAGAATGACATTGTATAATAGATATGACCTCTACCACATGATATAATATGCTCGTGTGAGCATTGCCATAAATATATAGTCACCATCTCTATTACAAGTTCTCTGCACCAGACTCTCTTATGCGATGCTCTGCAGACTAGGTTATGCATAAAACATCCACTCCCTACTATTTTGTTCCAAAAACTTCATTGGCCATCAGATTATATATTCATTCTGTTTTCGAATTCTGCACAGCTTTGAGTTTTTAATATGTGATACCAGGGGCATAAATCCTGGGGGGATGAAATTCAAAAAAAAAGAAAGAAGGAAGAAGAAAAAAGAAAGAAATGTGATTGTTTCAAATTCTGCCTTGACGCAGAAGTGAGATTTACGGATTATTTAATTGAACACAATGTGCCTTTGAGGGTGGCAGACCATGCAAATGAACTCTTCAAGATAATGTTTCCAGACTCACAAATAGCCAAAAAGTATGGTTGCAAACAAACTTGCAAAACACGTGAAATTGTGAGAAATTGCAATTCTTACCTGTGTTTTAATACATGTATTATTACTATAGTAACCTAACTGTGTACGCTCTCTGAAAAGTCATGAAAAGTGTTTTGAATCCTAACTTGTAGGGTTGAGTCTAGGGTTGAGATAGTGTCATCAGACATGAGAATATGGCCCACAGTATGCCTCAAATTGCAGGAAAATGGCTTAAATATTTCAAAATTTTCTGGGGAGGGGGCATGCCCCCAGACGCCCCTAGCACTGGCATGCCTACGGCACGCGGGCCTTCCTGCGGCAGCCAAGGTTAATTTCGCCCCCCTTCCCTGTCCATCAATTTCATTCCGCATTTGGAGTTCACAGGGTTGGAGAAATTGGCATGTGCATGCATGTATGTGCTACGTATGCATGTATAAATGTATGTACGTGTGTTTGTGTGTGTGTGTGTGTTGTGTTTGTTCACATTCACGAGTCACGCATGCAACCTCAGCGTCGACACCGCCGTACCTCCGTGTGTGTGTATGTTCGTGCACTTGCCGATCGCATCCTGTGGGTAAATTATTATGGGCTTGTGCTCGTGCTAGTATGTGATGGCTATCGCCGATCATCCCTCCCACTCCTCGGTACGGATTTACGCCCCTGTGTGATACGTACGTCCGTACTGTGCACCACTGGCAGTGAGCGCATTGAGTGAAAGATTGGTTCTGATGTACTCTGGGCTGACCATAGTTATGTGGATGTTGTGATGCGAAACCTCAGCTCTCAAGCATTCAAAGAAAGCCTCAGTCGCATGCTTGGAAGCTGCATCTGAAAACAGGCAGAGATAAACAGGTGCATATAGGTGACATTCCAACACTTCCTTCTCAATGTACAATGGTTAATTTACACACATGAGATTTCCTACGAGTAAGCTCACCCTCAACAAAAGTGGCAAAGGGTGATCACCATTATCGAAATATAAGTTTTTGTTAATAAAACCTAATAACCAGTATAGTCAAATCTCCACTGTTGTTTGTTTATATATATCACATTTTTTTCACGGGATTCATGAATAGGTGTTCGATTTGCATGCTTGTGATAATGTTGATAATTGCGCAAGATGCCTACATACACAGCAGTTTAGCATTGCAGTGACATGTTGGGGGAAGGCAGTACTTACATGCAGAGCGATGAGGAATAGCAATCTTGCCTTGGACGCTGCTAACCACAACGATCTCACCTTTTCCATGTCTCATCATGTGCGGCAGAACCACTAGAATGTAGAATTCAAACTTGTTACTTTATCTACATAAAAACTACTGTTGCGCTCTTTGTCTGCATTTAAAAACGCAGTGCGTTCATAGGCATGGCATAATCTATGATGATAGAAGCACATAATACCTTTTGTTAAGGCTGCAGTTCCCAGATAGTTCGTCGTCATCAGCTGCATATCAACGTCAGTTGATGTATAGAGCGCATCGCCACGGTAACTAATCCCAGCATTATTCACTAGGATATCAATGACACCTGAAATGGTTAACGCCATATTATTACAACAAAATTATGCAACACAATTTTACATGACCAATGCAGCATTAGATTAGTGTTAGAACTAATGAATAGTCGTTATTATTATTATACTTATTACATTACTATCTTACTGACGTTTGATGTAGATAAGCTAGCAAAGAGAGCAGAAAGATATACCAAAGTAATTAGATGCTTCGAGAACTTTATCTGGAATGCTGGCGATGTCTGATAAATCCAATGTAAGAATACATGGTTTATACAATTCATATTTGGTTTCCTAAAAAAAAACACAAACATGAATTAGCATTTCATACAGTTCTAGAATACAGCAGAGTTCGTAGGCATGACAAGATCAATGATGCTAGAAAGCACAATTTCACTACAGAACTTTACCATAATCGGTGGTCTAGAGTTATGAACTAGTGGATTTATATCTAGAGATATTTCTATAATAATACATTGTTTACCACATTAGATAGAGTGGAGTTACAGACTAATAGGCAAACATCTGAAGGAATTGTGAAAAATGTCAGGGGGGCCATTGTCAGAAGCATCATAAATATTGATCACACCATGAGTAAAAAATGCCACAACTTTTGAAATGCAGTGATGTGCAAACGTGGAGAAATTTTAGACTCGTGATAGTGACAATTATTTATGATATGTCAACATGACAATGAGCACACATTACAGTCAAGTACAAAACATGGGGTGAATAATGGCAAGTTTGTCACTATTGGACCCTGGTACAAAAGGTAGGCTGGCATAGAGGATGTAGGTTTGCTAAACTGCCTACACATTTCAGGTCAAGAAGTTCTTGTTTAACCCGCTGCAGTTCATTGGTCCTGCGGGCACCTAGTATCACCTTGGAACCGGCCAAGTAGAATTCATATGCCAAAGCTAGAAAATACACAGACAGTATTTAACCACCAAGGAAGAAACTAATATGGGTTCATTTCAATCTGAAACAACAAACATGTTATATCAGGCTCAATAATAAATGCTTCTGATGATATTATGTGCAAAATTTATGGGACCTGTTAAATTAAGTTTCTAGTTAGTTCCTCATTAGAAATATACTGACTTAGATGACTGTCGCTGCGCCACATTGCTTACCTTCACCGAGACCTGAGCTAGCCCCTGTGATCAAAACCACTTTCCCATTTAGCTGGCGCAGTTTTTGTTTAGTTAACAAACGGTAAATGAACCACAATGTCGGGATTCCAACACCAAGTAGAGCCACCAAGGCAGGAAACATCTTCATGCCTAGGAGTCAAGAATACACCTTATACTATAAAGACAGAAGAGTTTACATCATTTGAGCATGCATGGTCATACCATTGAGCATTATACCATTTGAGAATCGAGAAAGAATCATTTTACATTTTTCTACAATGCAACGACATCGTTTTCTGCGATCATGGAACAAAATATAATTTTGCTGCTTCTAAATGGATGTTTTTCGCATGGTATTAATATTACTACTAGTATTAGTAAGAAATTGTTGTAAATATTCTTATTGCCCGTTTTGTACCGTTATCACGTGATTGTGCATTAGTTTACTGAAAAAGCCGATCTCTTATTTGTGTGGGTCAGTGAGTGTTTGCTATGAATGATTAGTCACTCATATACCTCAAAGCGACTTATACTCGGTCATATCCAATATCGTTCGCTAGTACCGGTATGTCCTATATGTTAATTTGTGAAATAAAAACTTTTTCTATTGCAATCCTCATAACCTTATAAAGATTAGTCTTCAAAAATCCAAGTGAGTAATAATATCGGACTATAATACTGAATTGTGAATATGGAAATTCAGAGACAAAGTTCAAGTTGATCAAACAGACAGATTATTGACTAACACCAAGTCTGCGGATCTCGCCAACATTGCGGATCTGCAATCCGCAGGGTTGATCTATCGATTTGATCAACGTTGTCTCTCTCCGTCTTCGGTATAGTCCGCTTAACTTACGAGACAAATCCTTACGACGTTTCGAGGGTACAACTTACAACTTGAACTTGCAGTTACAGTTGTTTACTCTTATTTTTATTTTCTTGACGCCGACATTCGTCGTTCACGTTCGTCCTAATTCGGGCGTTTCCGTATCATTTATTTATTATCATATTATCATCATACTCATAGACTAAGAATAACCATACTTATCAGTTATTATGTATGCTTAGTCTATGACACACACGTCACACAGTGCCAGTGGCAGTGCTTCAAGGCCGATCATCATTACTCATAATACTAATAGGTAAACGAACGATGTTTAAACGATGTAGGGCCTAGTAACGAAGTAAACGAGCCTGGTAAACACGAATGTTACCTTTTCGAACGCCAACTACTGGCCCATAGATATCACATAACACAATGTTATATGCATAGATATATACAAACACAATGTGTGTAGGCCTATGGCTATGGCTATGTATATTGTGTTTGTATATATCTATGTTATCTGATAGCCATATATGCACATATGAACATCTTTTAGTCAAGCGGAAATGACGTCAGTAGTTTTCCGCTTCCGTGTCGGTGTCACTTGGTGTTTCCGTTTATGACGCGCTTAGTTAGCAGACGATCGAAGACGAGGGATGTTTCAAAAAAGTAAAGTGAAAAAGGTAAGTGCGCACTAGCTCTAGAACTATACTATATATATATATGCCCTTCGCGGTGGATATCTATTTCCAGAGAAAACTTTGTTGCGGTTATTAACTTCTTCGGTACGCCAAATAAGGCACCTTCTCTGAAGTTATTTAAAATGTTGAAAAACATTTTATTATTATTAGGCCCTACTAAGCTACTTACTACTTAGTACTAGTAGTAGTACTTTATTACATCTATTGATCTATCAGTATCAATGATCTATGATCTAGACTATATTAGTATATATTGAAAAATAATTTATTATTATTACTTTATATATTATATAATTATTAATAAATTATATACATGTCATATATTATATACGTATAATTTTATTTTACAGTCAAATATTTAGAAACATTAAGGCCCACACACTCACAGTCACAGTCACAGTCACAGTGATGAAAACCGTAAAAGCAAAGATCACTTCGAAAGCAAGCCAAGTGAAGTGCTGGCAGAAAAACAGGAGCTAGTCCGACAACAAGTCCCGCAGTTCGAAAGGCCAAGGCGATAACAAAGAAGTATGTGAGGCCAGGAACGCCAGGTAAGGGCCCACGGAGGGCCCTATTTGCCATTCGTGAGAAGAAGGTATCCATCAGACAGGCAGCTCGTGATAACGAGTTATCATTTGGCTATTTGTATAGGAGGCTGTCGGGAGAAGTTGAGGTTGATAGAAAAAAGGGTCCACCACAAGTATTCACTAAAGAAGAAGAGAAAGCGATGGCAAAATGGCTGCGTGAGATGGCGGAAAGAGGAATGGAGTTGAAGCCAGGCGAGTTCTTGGACTTTGTCCAGCTTATTGTTGAACGGGAGGAAAGGTCAACTCCGTTCAAGAATAACAGGCCAAGCCATGATTGGTATTATGCGTTCATGAGGAGAAACTGCAACATAGTACAAATGGCGAAATGCGTAAGGAAACGCCCCTTGAAAATTGCATATAACAGATAAGTGGTTTGGGGGGTTTAGAGGCTTCCTTGTTAGGGCAGACGTCATAGACAAACCCAGCAGAATCTGGAATGCTGACAAAACTGGGTTTTGCATGGGAAGTACTGCAAGCAAGCAGAGGTAATAGGACCTCCAAGGAAGGAGAATGCTTACCAGGTGCCTCATATATCTGGAGGCAACAGCAAGCGGAGGTTCACAGTAATGTTCTGTGGGTCTGCGAATGGAAAAATGATGCCCCCTTTCTTGGAGTACCCTGCACCTCAGCCACGTGGATACAATCCACTGACTGGGGCAATTGAAGGCTCCGATATTGCCTACACCAAGAAAGGGTGGATGGATACAGATACGTTCTGCAAGTTCATTGAACATTTTGACAAACATGCCGGCACGGAGAGACCTGTTGTCCTTTTGATAGACAGTGTAAGCAGCCGTGTAAACATGGCCGCTTTTGAAGATGCTAAAGCAAAGGGAATCGAAATATATCGGATTGTCCCGAACGCCACCCATCTAATGCAGCCCCCTAGATAAAGATGTGTTCGGGCCATTGAAGTCGAAGTGGCATCAGGTTGTCAGACACAACACAAGAGCACCCAGACAATCCAATAGCAAAAGTAAACTTTGCAGAAAAACTAAAAGAAGCCTTTCTCTTATTCTGCAAGCCCCTGACCATCGTAAATAGTTTTAAATCATCCAATGTACCATACACCTGGGACCACACCAGCGGAAGACTGCCCTGGTGATTGATAAGAAGATTGTATATTAAACGCATTAGACAAATTATTTTGCGAAACAGCATAATTTATTGATGATTAACGGAAGCCATGCATCTGCAACATGTTCAAGCAGCCAGCACACAGCTATGCGCATGGGGAATACCACTCCCATTTCACTGATCGATTATCAAATAATTTACAGTTTGTGAGATTATGACTGGCTATGTGATCACTGCTGAGCTAGATCTCTTAACGTATAATGACATAGGATCAGGATCATACTAATATTCAAACATTCATTGATTTAAAATGTTAATTAACTGAATAGATAATACCCCCAACAACAAAATCCAAAGCTGTCAACACATCACACTCCTAGATATCTGCACGTAGCTGCTAATCACTGTTATGAAGACGGTTTATTATACGAATATTTGTGGAGTTTATTTAATATTGGTGTGCATGTTTTAACGTAAGCTCAGCATGTTGGCACAATTAAAATGCAAATATTATTTACCTCTTGTATGCATTACGTCACACTATGCATCTTTGTGTTTCGGGATGCCACTACATTATTACTATGTTGTTAACTTGTTACAGTCAGTATAAAACTAGATGAAATTCCTGAGCAAAACGATTGTTTTTGCCTGATGTCTGCAGTTACATTTGAACATTTCATCACTATTAATCGCTGTTAAAATTAATTAATATGGCGAGCAGCTGTATATACTATATTATCAATTACAACATTTACAGGTGAAAAACTTTTATATTCCCCACCAAAGAAGTCATATACAAGTATTGACATGATATTTTTGCTTGTTATTGCATATAATAGTTTAAGGATCATAAAAGCATGGACTCTTTACTTTCATGTACCTACTATGCAGAGACAGATGGAAAATTATTTGCCCAAATTAGAGGTATTTTACTCCACAGAGTGGTTTATGATTGCAGCAGCATATGTAACTATGCAGACAAGTAAGCATAGAACTAACAGCAGATGAATATGCCAAGCACAATTGTAATTAATGCATAAACTATTATTTGTAGCTAGTTTAGCCCACACAATTATATATAATATTAAGTGCCTACTGGTTTAACACTGCATGGAAAGCAAAGACATGGAAATGTGAAGATGAGTGAAAGCTACGCATTATTCGTCATACAGTTCCTGTATGAGAGAAACGAGTCTTCCACTGTCAATATCAACACATCTCTTCAGGCTCCAGCTGTCTGCTGGCATTTAGTGCTGCAATGGGGGGAGGGGGGGCTAGGTGTTTGTACACCAGTGCATTGCACAGCATGTTTCCGACTTCACAGAAATAACGCATGCCCATACAATTTATTTACATGAAGAATTCTTATGGAAAGTGAAGATACAACATGCAGAACTATAGGGAACCGTTTCTCGAGAGTGAAATGCCACAGCGTTATGGGGGGAAGGGGAAGGGGTAAGAGTTTCGGTTTTCGACTATTGACGGTTTTTTCAACTTATTAAGTGAAGTAGCTACGTCTACGAATTTTCCAGCATCAGAACCAGTAAATAAATTTGAGGATGTTACGCAGGTTTGCATGCAAAGAATCCATATATAAATAAGGGGAAGAAATGTACTGTTACAGTGGGCAAACATGTGGCCCATGCACAACTATCGAGCAGAAGGTATCTGTGCACCAGCAGACCCTACTCTCTCCCAGGTTTCCTTGAACTCCTGCAGATGGCGCTCAAGAGTAATGCAGAAGCCGCGGGATGCAGGTAGCAATGGAAAATCAGGCATCGACCACGATTCCGATGTGCTATCACAGCGTCCGCCAGGCTTTCCTGAAAGGAAATGAACACGAATGTGACGATGTGGTTCTGGCAAGCAAAAATTAGTGTGGATACCTAGTCATCAATCAAACGTCACTGCCAAGTGGTCCAAGTTCAATATGAACGAATAAAAATGGTAGTGTCACAAAATGAAAAGTCCAGAAAATACACACATAAAATTACAGTATGTTCTGATATTTGTGGCACATATTGCATAGTAAGTGTAGTAATGATGGTTTGGTGCATGCAGGGGAAATACTTTTTATGTAACTATTTGGATATAAAGTTACTGTGGTTTGCTGAAACCTATTACAGAATTTATTGATGACAGCCATCTACAGCAGCTTTAAAATAACCAGTCTATATATAAGTTTTCCAAGTAGCTCTAGATAATCAGTGCATGGACTCTGTAATAAATCCAATTTCAACAAGGATAAGTTTCTAACACAGGAACTGAGAAATCTGTGACAGGAACCTGAATAAGCACTCCCTAACATGAGCACAAGGCGTTCAATGGCTATATCTTGAAAGTGAACTGCACTGGCTATGCCTACGTAGCTCTCATGTGCCAGCTCGTGAGTGTTTACACTGCACACCTGCTTGAGATTGCATAAGATCACTGAGGAAAGAGCTCTCCAAACTAGGAGATGCAGGGGAGGTCAAATCAGCTATTCTAGATGACCATGCTTGGGAAATCTTCAACCATTTGTCGAATCTTTCAATCATCCTGAGAAAGAAACAAATAATCCATGCTTGCATTCAAAACGAAAACCCACACGTCACATTCATGTAAAACTAGCCATTAAAATGTACTCAAGTAAATTTATAATGAATAAATACATTTACACTAGCCACTGACAATCCCGGTGGCTGCCTTGGTGAACCAATTACATGCTCAACTCTATATAAGACGTGATAAAGATGCGCCTATACTCACTTCAACGCTCTTCCTCGGAAATGCTCAACGATCTCGTCTCTAAATGCTATAGATGGGTTGTTCAGGAGCCGAGTCATGGACTGTATCAGCTTGAGGACGGCCATTTCGTTGTACATGCGACTATTCTCCGCTCCCTGCTGTGTTCCTCTCTGCTTCTCATAGCTGCAGCCCACGAAACATTTCAGAAAATATAATTTCAAATGAAAATAATTCAATTTAAAGAGGATAAGCATGAAATATTTCAGAAAGACGTTCATCTAAACTAACAGTGAAATTAATGCAGCACGGAAATAAATCTTCACAGTTAAATTGAGAATAACCACAAAAAAAAAACCAGCTAACATTCTACAGCTGTGTAAAAGTCTTAACTCTCCAAACATGAAGCTAGCTCACCCGGCCTCGTTGTAGTAGGGTTCATTAACAAGTATAAGGCCTTGAATGGACACTAGCACTTGCAGCAGGTTGGATTTACTTGTCCAGACTTCTGTACCCTGCAGAGAGAAACACACCACTAGATGGCGCCAGCAGCCTCATACCTGAAATTATGCCATTAAAACCTAACTAACGCCAGGACACATATATCATATGATATACGTGCTCTGCTAACGCTTAAAATGCCGACACAGCCACCTCAGGTGATGTTGATAGAGCTGAAATTCCACAGCAATTACACCATGTTGAAACAAAGGTCCAGTGTTGAACATGAACGATATAATAAAGTGCATCAGGTTCACATACTTGCACCACGCTGTCAGGTAACCTGAACTGGAACTGCATTGCTGCTGGCTCCTGTAGATCTTACCTTTCCCGACCAGGTCCCCAGAAGACTCACACAAACTTTGCCATCCTCGTACAGGTTTGGGTTGAGTCTGTCTGAGCAGTAGGAGATATAGTGAAATACGGGAGGAGTTCGGGGTAATCATTCGAAAGCTGAATGTCGAAATGGAACAGTCCATCCTCATAGGGTGTTCTGATAGGGCCTTTAATCATTGCAGAAAACAGGTCCTGAAATGTACGGTGATGGCAGGTGAAGAAGGCTGAGCAGTGTTTAGCTCATTAGTAGTTTACACATAGTTCCTACAGGAAACTTAAAAACTGTGCAAGTTATTAAGATTTTCTTGGCAAAATAAAAGAAGTCAGCCTTATCAAATGTTTGTTCTGAAATAGATGGAACGATAACTTGATAACAATTGTATAATTACTCAACACTGGTTAAATCACTTACCATTCTGTTCTCAAAACCCCGGACCAGAATGCCTTCTGGAAGATGCTGCAAGAGTTTCAGCTGAAACAGAGAATAGGTGAAAATTAGATACACTTACTAAAAATAGTACTACAATTGTTGTCAATTACCAGAATCCTGTCATACTTATTCTTAGTCATTAACCTTTGTACATTCCACTTTAAGCCCTAAAATTCTATCCATATATTGTTTGATATTAAACCTAATTTCTGACACATATCCATTTAAACTGGTGAAGCTTTTACCTCTCTCCTGACAGCTGAGAAAAAATTCCTGCTGTCCACAGGTTGAAAGACACTGAGTTTAAACTTATGGGTATCTGGTACCATCTCAAGCATTGTGAACTCTGAAAAGAAAAGATTTTGTTGAAACCCTATTCAAATATCATGAAAAAATTTCACGAGTTTTTTTACTTTAAAACAACTTGGTTTCGTGTCACAAATAAATGCGAGAAGTAAAATCACATCACAAATGCTTAATACATAATCATAATGAGAGTCCTCGATATATATATATATTTTATTCTAGTATATACTGCAGTATTGCTCACATACCCTCGCATCGACTGCTTGATACTTGACTAGACGATACTTCAGCTTCACTCTCTTGGGTCTCTGCGGGAGCATCCTTTTCCACGCCTCCATCCTTTGTCTTCTCCGCTACACCCTCTTCATCCTCCTCCTTCAGCAGAGCATCCCCAATCACGCCGAACCGCTTGGTGACCTCCTCGTGGGCCTTCAACAGCTGCTGTCGAAGAAGCGCGAAGAGGCGCGCGCACACGGAGCCGTTACTCACCCGTTGCCTTCCCTCCTCCCACCCTCCGCCGGACACTACCTGGGACACTGGTTGACTGTCGTTCTCGACAATGCCGGCATTCTGCTCGGCTGTCCTCGCGCGACCTTCAACCCCGGCGGCTGAATCGTCACGCGGCTCACTGTCCGTCGTCGCGACGCGAGCTGACGCCGGCGTTCCCGCGGGCGCTTCCGCCGAACCGGTGTCGGGGTCGGCGGTGCGCGCGCCGGTCACGGTGCCGTGGTTGTTGAGCATGTGCAACACGTCCTGTGCAACACGGGATGCTGCGTGCTGCCGCGCCTTCACCTTTAGCTCTGCGATGAGGCCATCGAAGTGGCTCTCGTGGAAGAACGCCGTACTCATCAACCTGGGTGCAAAAACACATGTAAGCCACCTATACTCCCGTGGAAGAATGCTGTACGGATGAACATGATCGCAGCAACACGTGTAAGACATGTACCTATCCTAGTGGAAGAATGCCATACACAACCACCTAATTTTTTATTGTAACTACTCATATATGCTGTACTATACTGTAACTTGATATTAATTATAACTATTTATACTCAATCTAAGCATAGAAACAACAGCATTAAAACCAGTTAAAACATTTTATGTATGTCACTACAATATAGCTACATCTGCCTCACATCTCATATCATAGCCATGGTAAAAAATACACGGGAGCAATGAGCAATTCGCTCTTCAAACCCTCTGAAATTGTTCCTGTGAGGCTCAAAATAGCTCCCGTAAAATTTTTGACGAAAGCTATATTTTCCACAGACTTTTAAAAAAGAGCTCCCGTGGAAAAAAGAAATTTTTTCCCTGCACCTGTCCATGTGTCGGCACTCCCGATAGACGTCAAGGATCTGACGGATGATGCTGTTGCTCTGCAGAGTCGGATTCTGAATAAAGATCTCCTCGAGGCGCGACATGGCGGCGCGTGCCGTCTCGATGTTCGCTGCTAGCTGCGTGACGACGCCTGCGACCACGGCCGGGTCGTCACTGTTAAACAACAGAGCACTGTGAGCGGACATCTTGCATTCATGGTATATGGTTATGGTTTCATAAAAAATTATTCACGACACCAAAACAGAAGATGTAAAGGAACGTACATTTATAAATTATTTGCCGTAATTGATACGAGAATAAATCACAATAGAGAAGCCAAGGAGAATAAATTTATTAAAGATAAATTATATAATATAATTATAATGCACACGTACACGCGCAATATGAATTATTAAATAAATAAATAAATATATGTATATATATATAATAGAAAAATATAAATTATAATGTATATATACTGAGGACACAATATATGACTAAAAACAACTTACTTCTCCTGGCCTGTGAACGACTTCTCGGACTCGGTCTCCCAGCTGTCGTCGGAACTCCCATCCTCACTGTCTCCATCTCCCCAGCCTCCATCGCTATCCTACAATCAATCAAGACGCCACATTGGGTTGTGAAATAATAGCGACAAAAATACTAATAAATAATAATCTATATAATATATCATTTATATAAGCACCGATAGATGTCGCTTTCGACTCGACAACCGCTTTGATCTTGATATCTAGTTTTCATGTGTAGTTTTTTACCCTTCTTCTACCCTTCTTCTAGCGGTAATCTGTTATATACATGTTCAAATGTTATCTTGTTGTCAGATCCAACGAAATAGACTACTTCGGAGTTTATCTCCATATTCATATATATATTGCAAATGTCCAAACAGAGTACGGCACACGATACGTCGGAGGTCGTTGCTTATGTAAACACTTCAGTTGTAGTTGAAGTTGTAGACGTATTACTATTAGCTCTAGTACTATAGCCCGCTGCGCGCCAGTGCCCAGTGGCAACTGTACGCGGGCTATAGTACTAGAGCTATAGACGTATTTGTTTCTATGTAGACATAGACACTTGACATTGATAAGATGAGTCACCGCCTCGGAACACGGCGTCCGCGGAAGTACTGTGACTTATCTATAAATTATGGACCTTCCCTATTATAGACACAGCGGTGCAAGTAGTGGTGTACAAGTGCTATATAGAACTTGGGAAGGTCAAGACACCTTTGCACATTCGCACCGATGCACATGCAGCCGGGAGTAAAGCTCGTAATCCACTACATCATCCTGCTGCCGGACGAAGGAAACACGCTGTAGCACTAGCAGGCAGTATGAATACGATCACGTTCAGGTAATCTGTGCATAACTGCAGGAGACCTAGTAATAGTATAAGGTCACATGCAGCTTAGAGATGTAGCATTTTCTGTACTGTCTCGATCTTTCCTCCTGTCTGCAGGCTTTGCAATAATACGCTGTGGCTATATGCCCGGCAGCCGGCACCCTAACCCTAACCCTAACCCTCCTGTTTACTTGAGAAATCACCGAAAATTAAAAACTGCCGGGCATTTAGGAAATCGAAGATCGTGCCCGGCAGCCGTCGGATATTTTCTAAGTGTCGATTGCGAGTTCATTCGCTCAGTGATCCGAAGCTAGGAGAATTGGGCTAGTTCGAATATACAGCTCTAACGAAAATCGCTTGACATTTCTAAACAAATGTAGAATACTTTGGATCACGTAGTACACTGTTTACTTGAGAAATCACCGAAAATTAAAAACTGCCGGGCATTTAGGAAATCAAAGACCGTGCCCGGCTGCCGGGCATATAGCCACTTCGTACAATATATACCATATTTTGGGGGTTACAGCCAGCATATATACAGTAATGTAACTCAACAAGAGTAGGGATACATTACCCGGCGCAAGCCTAGTTTAGCACCCAAATTAGTTTAGCACATATATGCGAAAACATTTGCGGGGTCCCAAACTAACCTTTATCCTATTACCATACTCTTGTTGGGTTTCGTTACTTATTGTATCTACAGACAGCATAGCTCCAAGAATGGTCAGAGTCTTGTAACATGGTCAGGCTACAGACAATGCGGAATAATATAATATATCAGGCAGAATTTCAAGTCTATACATTGGTTCCCATGTGCATACATAATTTGTAACATCCATCCATGTTGTTATCCTTAGCCTAAACCTAAACTTAAATCCAACCTAATTGTTATGAACTTGGGGTCTTAAAATAAACTTAATGCACAAGTAACCTTGCGAATCTACGTTTGCATCAACAGGCGAGCCCAAGTTGATGATCACCAGGCAGTGTATGACATCAACAAGAATATCTACAATGGCCGTGATCCTATTGGCAACGAGAAAACATACAGAGCATACCTAAGCAAACCCTACAACTTTGCGTACGTCGCCGAACTTGCAGGACAAGTGGTATGGGGCAATGTTTTATTATAGTTGATGAAGTGATTACACGTGAAATTGATATTCCATGCTTGCATTAAATTAGTCAAAGTAGACCTGGAATTTTCATATTGTTGTTCTAGATTGGAACAAAATATAACAACCTATATTAGATTAGTGAATGGACCTATTATATAGTATATAATATATATGAGGAAAGTGTACGTTGCTATATGTAAAAGCCTAATATCTCCTCAGGTAGGTCTGTGATAGGTGGCAAGTACACCCCATGCAGCTGAGGTGCCTACGCACCTCACAAACAACATTGCACTTTAGCTGTCCCATACACAATACCTATTGCACCTGGTGTATATCTGTGATACAAGGCTATCGCCTCAGATCATGTAGCTGTCTAATAAAGAACTATACCTTGTGTAAGTATCTAACAAGAGGCTATTGTTGTAGCATTTTGTGCAACTGTCTGAGGCAGCATTCATTGTTATTTCCTTCTTCACAGATCTCCTTCTCAATCCTCACAGTGCAGGATAGTGGAAAGACTTTGTACATGCGCTTTGGGCGCACCAAGCATGAATTCTGCAAAGCGGGTGCCAACTACAATCTCGGCTTCTACGGTTACATAGACGTCATCTCGCAACACAGACAGATTACGTCAGCATTATACACAAAGGTTATCGACGGACCCATCCCTACAATTCCGGCGGGTCAATCCCTCCTGAATAAATGGGTACGTCGGTCATATAGTGGCGTGGGGATAGCATATTCCAATCAAACGTAAAGGCCACAGCCATGTTACAGACATAGTATTTCATTGCCGCCCATTCTAAAAATCTCATTTTTGTTTTAGAATCATTCATGATAATTTTACATCAGATCTTCATTTTAGAAACATCCATGCCATCTTTGTTTGCTCATAATATAGAACCACAGGTCAGATGTAGCTAAACCGCAGTGAAAACAAATCAATGAATGTATCTCCCACCTTTCAGGTACTCTTTGTTTATAATTTCACTTCTGTCAATAGTTTGCCAGTGACGTGCCATGCGACAAATCTCACCTTTATTTTGAAAAACATTACTTTTGCGAAATATAGAACCCTAGCACGTGTATATAGCAAAATAACTATTGATAAGAGCATCTCTCATCTTTCATGCTTTGCCTGGAACTTCACCCTGGCCGTCTAATTCCCTAGCAGCATGCTGTGAGACAAATCTCATTTTCGTTGTAGAAACCACGTTAACAAAGTACTAAAATAACTATCAGCCAGGGTTAGAAATTAACTTGTGAACAAGGGAGTCCAACGGACTCCCTGCCGTCAAAAAGAGAGAGTCCGCAGCAAAATGAAGGAGTCCGCAGTCTGAAGTTCAAAACTAAAGATAATTACAATAACGCATACATGTGCTTATTTTGAAGGTTCATGAGGTTGCACGTCTGCCAAATTTTCTTTGGGCATTTTAATACTGAAACATTCTGCGAGGCCGTGCTCTTGAACGAACTAGTTAGTGTAGCAGAATTTTCAGGGAGTCACACGGACTCCTGCATATGTCAAATCAGGGAGTCCGACAGTATATCAGGAAGTATTTGACTCCGGACTCGCGTTAATTTCGCACCCTGTTATCTTTCAGGCGCTCTTCGTCTACAAGTTTGACTCGGCTGATCGTCTGCTCGCAGCGTGCGGCGAGACGACGCGAGACGCGTCCCGCCTCGCGGGGCTCGATGAGCGCGAGCGTCGCGAGCTGCTAACGAACCCGCGCGTCGCCGAGCACCTGTTTGGCATCGACCACGTCCTCGTCGACATGATCCTCTACAAGGTGGCGCCGGAGAACTACCGGCTCATCGTCGACAACGAGGACCCGTACGTCGTCGCCGAGCGTCGCCACGGCGACCGCTACGCGTCGGTGAGCCTAGGGTGCGTGCGCGCGATCGCCGATCCGCGCGCCGTCGCCTACAAGGTCGTCATCTACGCGAGGGACGCCGACTCGGCGGTCGCGCACTTCCGGCACCACGTCGCGCACGCCGCGCGCGCGCACCCGGGCCGGCGCGTCAGCTTCGCGGTGAACGCGGACGCGCGGCAGTTCGCGCGCGACTCGCCGGGCCGGCGCGCGCTGGAGGCGTTCGCCGAGGGCCGACTCGCGCTGCGGCGTGACCGGCTCGACACGTGGAGCGATGCTCACACCATCTGCGCGACGTTCCCCGTTGTCGTTGAGCGCGATCTGCGAGAGTACGCCGCGCACGTCGGTGGCCCGGCGTCTATGCGCGCAAAACTGTAGGACTAGTCATGATCAAACTGCATGGCGTGTATCTCAACATAAGGTCATGTCTGAGCTACCAGCCATAGAGCAGTACTTACGATTCTGTTTCACGTCATCACTTTTAAACAGAATCACGCGTGATCAGTAGCGGTAGGAAAATATAAATAATTTGCACTTTCAAATGGATGCTTTCACGTTTCATAGATAGATATTGTCATCACAATCATGTCAAAGCCTAAAATTGGGTAAATAATTTTTTTAAATATATATTATCACAGTAATATATTATAATATATTGTAGCAACGCTAACGTCACTACGCGACCGCATATAGCATTCACCCGGCATAATCATATACCACACCAGCGGCAGTGAAGACGGATTTATCTGATGAACACACACAAACATGTTAAAAGTAGTTACACAGTAAACAACATTAGCCCGGCTACAAACTAGATACACATGGTGGCGGCACCACCGTCCGCGTAGTATGTGTCAATTTGCAAGGAATAATTATAGTTGGAGATACACCGCAGCAGTATCATTACATTAGCTGGACAACCGTCGGCAAAGAACAGACAACACTTTAAGCAGAACTTGGTTTCAACTCACATGCTAAACAGCTGTTCCATCCTGAACATATGCACATTGGCCGAAATGGGGATATTTTCAAGTATATAATATATAGTGAAACGGCAGTTATAACCAACATCAGTCTACTCTCATTTTATTATCGTATTGGTAGATTTAGTCAAGCAGTTACACGGCGCATATAGCACTTTAACTATAAGCGCACAGTCGTCTGGCAGCAGAGTTATCCAGCGACTACAATATATTAATTATGTATAAATTTGTATTTCATGAACTTGTACTGCAATTTTGGAAATACATGTAAAAAAAATTTGGTATTTTCGTTAACATGGTGTAAGGAATTAGTATATTTCTAGGATAGTTGTTGAAGTACGAAGTAATAACCTTCATTGCACAGTTATTACACACATACCGACTGGAACATGTACAAAGGTCATCCAGAATTGTACCAGCAATGGTCGGACATCAGTAGCTTTCATAGATAACGAAACTATAATCAAAGCTGTTTGTGATATCAGTTTACACAGCACTGCACAGCAGAGCATTGTACAGCACAGCATTGCACGTCAAGACGTACTGATCAACATTTTTAACGTTTTTGACGCATAAGACGTCATGTACACCTTACTTGGATTGGCCTGCATTTCACGTAAAAAGATGAGCTCACTTAAACTAGTCGAGGTGACCTATGTCCAAGGTTTAGTGCTCTTGTGTAATGTCATAACCCTATTCCTTACTAAAAGGTTAAATGACAAAACAAGGCACAAGTTAATGTGAGGCACTCAACTCTCTCCTGTAAAACACACGTCCAGTTACAAGAATGTTAGTAGAGAATCTGGGTGAATTGGGAAACAAAAGAATTGGTCCCACCTGTCATACCCCAATGCTGCTATCTACTAACGTGGTACCAAAAGATCTATATACTCACATCATCTGGACCAAATTTGTAGATATCTTGGGGCCAGCAAGTTGACACGTTGCCATCAGCCCATCGAATTAAGACCTGTCCAGATGGCTGGTTATCCAGTACCTGGCCTGCATCACATCCACTGTTCTCCTGTATAAAACAACAAACAGAACAAAAATGGCTTCAATATGAACGACTGGATTCCTAGACGTGTGTGCAACAATTATTGAATGCGCAAAGGGGAAAAGAGTTAGCCCACATTGTGATTGTAATTTTCACGAGCTCTTTGATGTGGGTAGGATATAATTCGGCAAATGATCTCTGAGTTCTACCAGACCATTAAGCGTACTTACAGATTCATGCGAAAATTGCATAATAAACGCGAAACATCATTTTGATCGACGTACTTTGCATATGTGCGCATCGTAATCGCCACAACAACTCACGGGTATATTTGCGATCCTTATGACAAAAGATCCGTGTCGAAATCGAAAGTCCGGATGATCTTTAAGGTCATAGACGCTGACCGTGGTCTGTGATACGCACTCCGGCTCCTGGCTGACCGAAGGAATGTACGTTCTCATCCACTGGACGATGGCGGTGCGGCCCTGGTGATCAACCGACTGGACGACTCCGTACATTCTGGTGTTCGTCTCTGTAGCAAATGTCGAAAACCAGTTGCATTAACATTTAATGCAATAAGAATAACAACTTCTCTACAAGAAACCTGGCACCGACAATTTATAAAGAAGCGTAAAAAAATTTACATGCAGTAAAGTGCTGTCAAACCTGTGTAAGCACTCACCTCTATTGAACGTACACTATTTGGCATTTTCCTTTAGGCTGGCATTCCCTTGGTTGGCATTTATGTACAGGTTTGACTGTAATACAGTAGAAGTCCAAAAATCCGGATGCCAGAAATCCGAACCAACCGAGAACCCGGACTTTTCGAAACTCAAACTTTTTAAATTTAGCAGGCTTTTGTGTGTGTGCAAGTATGCACGAGCACTGTTGTCAAGTGTTGACTTTATTTTTCTTTAAAACTGCTAGTTTTGGTAAATGAAGCATGCTGTATTTGCCAATGTTAAAGTTAAATCCTTCCCGTGCCTATGTGGCACATAGGGTGGTGCCTATCTCCGTTTTAGTAGCCCTGAGGCCCCGCAGCTGCTTTCACAGTAGGGGGTTAGTCCACTGGTAGCACTGCGAGCTAACTTGCCACACTCTATCTCTATTTGCAGTATGCTAAGCAGAGAAGCCGTGTGTACCATTTTTCAAGTCTTTGGTATGACCCGGCCGAGAAATGAACCCCCGACCTTCCACATGCGAGGCGAGCACTCTACCATTGAGCCATCGCTGCGGTATTTGCCAATGAATAAACTATAAAAGTTTACCTGCTCATCTCTTCTTTATTCCTTTTTAAATTTGAATTTTAAAAGTACTACCCGAGAATCCGGAAAATCTGGACCGACCCAATCCCCAAGCAGTACGGATTTTTGGACTTCTACTGTAGATAACTAATTGATGTCTCACCTTTGGCGTCGACGACAAAGTCTCCGGGGAAAAATTCGTGATCGTCCAAGTGCAATATAGGATAGAGCATTGCCGATGGAATGTCCTTCTCAACGGACCCATCCTTAAAGGGGTTTACAACGTTAATTACATCCATTTCTTTTTCTCTAACATCGCATCACATCCACTAATTCGCTTGATAAAATACTTTGTTATTCACTATAGGACCCTCAAAAAGAGAAAAAGACAGAATTAGAGTGTGACAAAAGAAGGGAAAGAGAGGGTATTGGAGGAGGGAGAGAGAGAGAGAGAGAGAAAAGGAAAGAAAGAGAATTCAGAATAAAAAAAGAGTTCAATAAACAGACTCACAGCGCTAGCGTGGCTGTATCCAGAATTCGAATAACAGTATCGCGACGATATTCAATATTTGTTAATAAACTGTGAGGTGTGTTCGAACTGGATTTGTTCACCTTTGCCGCGTGAGCGTCACGTCCGTCCACACCGCCGAGCGTGCTTACCTGCCAGACGAGCTCAGCTGTTGAGTACGAACGCAGCGACTCGACGCACACCCGCACGCCGGGCGTTACGCTGACTTCCTCCACTTCCTCCTCCTGTTCCCGGCCCTTCGCCCGCCGCAGCTTTTTGTTCTTCAGCGACTTCGTGAGCAGCGCGCGCACCGTGTGCTTCTTGCTCTTCTTTTTGTTCGAGTTCTGCGACGTTGCGGAATTCACAGACGCCGCGTCGGAATCCTCATCGTCCTCGTAATCGGAATCGGAGCCGCTTTCGGCCGCGTCACCGTCGGCCATGACGGCGTTTCTGTCCGAGTCCCGGATCGCTCCCAGATTTGTGCCGGCTTCGCTGCTAGGAACACCGTTGGGCATTTCAGTTTCTGTCGCTTGAGAACTACTTTCGGCTACAGGTGCCTTGGGTTTATGTGTGAGGAGCGATTTCAAGGGTACTATAGTGTCCTTGTCCTTAATAACAACATAGTTTCTGTCTCCAAGCTGCAAGCGAGCTGCCTCGAACGCATTCAATACCTTCACTCTGTAAGAAAAAAAGTCTGAGTACTATCTGTCCAAATGTGCATAGCAACACGATTCATACTGACAACTAGACTTGACTTTTAACAGTTCACATAATATATACATGTTCTTCCACGATAAAATACGCAAACGTGATATTCCTGAAACAAAAATGTGTAGATGTCAAATTCGAACGAAAAATTCAAGAACAATTGCTACCTTTTAAGGTCATCTCCCTCTATGATATGGCTGGGTGGACTGATCATGATGTCTTTTAATTCACGATCGTCCTTTGAAAAGCTACGGCATTGCCAGTGTACATCTAGTGACACAAGTTGAACCTACAACCAATTCTCATCATTAGTTAGGCCAATAAAAAAATTAGGTGTGTTTCCTATTGCATCGAAAACAAAAGTAGGGTAGGTAGATAGGGTTTTTTTTTAAATATATTTTTTTTAAATACAGGTGTTTGTTAATTCGACATCTTACAGGTTATAAATATGATTCCTCGTTTGTATTCTGTTTTAATATTGAATCTTAAATAATATTTTATTTTTTATTTTATTTTTGGAAAAAAAAGTTTAGGGTCGGCCCTAATAATCTAGGGACGGTCGGTCGACCGGAAACACACCTATTTTTTTGTTTGGCTTTACCGTAGATATTATCACCACATACCACAAACATTCTATTCATAATTTGCAATCATTGACTCACCTGTACAAATACTATTATAAGGCGTAATATCAACGCATGTTACATACAGCAACGTTTCTCCACACATCCACATAAATATAACTGCTTTATATCTTACATAATACACTTTTACTATCCGGTAAACGAAGTGGTAATTACCTCTTCCACAACTGCATAGACTTTCTTGTTGTCGTTTTTTCGAGCAGCTGCCATGCCCTTGGTGATAGAGAGCCACCTGGCGTGCTCAAAGCAAAACATTGTTCCCCAAAGCTGCTGACCAACGTAAAACTCTCCCGCCGTGAACTCGCTGTCTCGGTTACGTTTATCCCGGAGATCGTCAAGGTCGTATGCCTGTTCGCCGGTTAGAACACACCTGTACCACAAGTGTGCATTATAATTATACAAGTCTCATCAACACACATAGCAACTGTGAAAATTGGCCGCCGCTGTTCAGGACCACAGTATGCGATTACAGGGGTAGAAATAATGATAAAAAAAGGACCATCTAGTTTGAAATTTAGATAGTCCTCCAAAATTTTAGATGGTCCTCCTAAATTTGAAATTGTTCTCTAAAAGTAATGCGGCGTGCAACCGTAAGAAAGAGATTTTACATGGTGATAAAATGGTCCGTATATAATTATTCACCTACAACAGTGTTAGAGCTTTAAAATAAAAACCTCTCACCAAACTGGGCGAGTGAGTCAATAAGTTAACTCGCCCAAACGGAATCTGTACTCGCCCAAATTTAAAAACAAAAATGCTTGTCAAACAATAGTGAAAAAATAGACTATGGGGGTGGGTTCGGGAAGGGGTCCCTGAATAGGCGGGGTCCGAGGAATTTTCAGATCTGTACAAAATTTACTTGCAATCTATGAGCCGTTAAGGTCCTCTTTTGGTTCAGTGCATATCATATTACCAGGAGTGTATAATATAGAGATCTATATTATATAAATAGATAGATAGATAGGTATATATATATATATATATATATATATATTAGATCTATATATTATATCGATATTATACACTCCTGATATTACAATATATACATGGAAAATCGTAATGAAATTCACACAACGTTTATTTTTGCGTGCCGGCACGCTCATTATGTGTCATTCCCAATTGCAGCTTTTTCCTCAATTCCAAGAAAGAATTTTGCTGTCGTCCTCTGATCCCAGCGGTGCCCACCCCCTATAATGAACATGCCCCACATGACTTTTAAGCAATCCTGCACTCCCCCCTCCCCCCTACATCAATCAATATGCCGCCCCAGACACGCTGTGCTGACTGTCGGCGACCTTTGATAATATAAAGTGAGGATGCCGTGCGATAGCCACCGTTCACAATTGCTAGCATTGTTTTTCATCAACGTTTGGATATATAACGTAAGGAACCAACAATTGAGTAAAGTTTTAGAGAATTATTTTTACTCGCGAACATGGGCGATCGAGTCAGCTTTAGCTTTTACTTGCCCGATATTATTTTCACTCGACATTGGCGAGCGGGCGAGTGCCAAGCTCGTTCACTGTACAATGAATGTATCAAACGATACAGTAATTGTTTATTCACTTTAATAGTATATTGGAACATGGAAACTTCAAAGAAAATTACCGTAAAATGGGACCAAAATATTTAATGGTCCTTCGGACCATTGCCTTTGAAAATCTGATGTTCCTCCTGATTATTTGATGGCCCCGGACCAACGGACCATCGCTTATTTCGACCCCTGCGATTATAATTTTAATCAAAATCTTATTACAATAAAATTACTGGTGGCCATTAATCGCATTTCGATTGTGTATTGACATTTGCATTGATTGTGGAAGAGTTTGTCAGTGTTCAAGACTACTGCACATTATACTAAGTTAAGAACTACAGATCTTACACTTATCATTAGCCATACCTAGATCCACCCCTGCATCGTAGAGTGACATCGATATTGCTTTGTCTGATAACTCCTACCCATGGCCCTAGCACGATCACAGTATATTCACACAACTCCTAAGCAAAAAAAATAATAATATTAATACCATTTTTAGTAAACTGATAATCGCAGCAAACTTTTCACACATCTATGAGCATATTAGCAATTCTAATGCCATTTTGGATTCAGTAACATTTTGCCACTCTACCATTGTGGTATGGTTTTGGATAGTAAATTTGATATTAGTTCAATTGGTTTTCTTACATAATAAAATCTTGTGCTTAACCCATTCCTTATCTGAAATACTAGTTAATATGCTCCACGTCTGATTTTTTACCTCTAGAGGTATAAGGTCCTGGGAGCTGACATGTTTAATGCCAAGTTTCGTTCCGAGGATGTGAATATCTGCTGTAACCGTGACAACTCGACAATAGCCTCGCTGAATGTCTTTGCCAGAAATTCTCCTGACAATATCACCCGGCATCACTGATCTGTCAGCAAGTTTTACCTGAAAGTGAAAACTACTTGTAAGTACTGCATAAGAATAACATGTTACAACCCCTCCCAAAACCTGTGACACACCTTTGAGGCACTATTACCATGTACGCTCAGAGCTATCGGTGACAAATGGAATAGTTGTTCTACCACGAGTAAAAGTCTGGGGCCTAGAGCATGAGGCAGGATGCTTTAGAACGACTACACGAATCACACCAAGGCTCTCGAAGTGCCGTGAAAGAGTCAGGACAGACCATATGGTGGCCGACACAGAACGCCAACGACATTAAAACAGTGGATGCGTCAATGGTGGTAGAGTGTCGACAGAGCAGACCAAATCACAGCGAGAACAACCCCTGCAGCCAATAGAGTTGCAGGGTACGGCGTCGACAGCCATGTTGGACGGATCTAACGGCAATTCAACAAGCAGACATTTCTGGTAGTGGTAGACTATTAGTCTCGTTGGATCGAAGTGAAGAGGCTGACAAGTCTGACGCAGCTCTGTGTAATTACAAGAATGAAAGCAATGTTTACGGCTTTCGGTATCCCAGATGCAGTAATATCGGATAATGGGCTGCAAATATACTCTCACGGAATTCCGTCAGTTTGCTAAGTCGTGGGATTCACTCACAAAACGACCAACCCATACACACACAAGAGAATGGGATGGCTGAACGTGCCGTGCAGACGGCTAAACCTTACTGAAGCTGGATGATCCAGAGATTGGATTGTTGAACTATAAGGCAACTGCGCATTCAAGCTACAGGTGTCTCCGTCTATGGCACTACAGGTACAAAAACTCCGGACCAGACTTCCGATACTGGAGCGAAACTCTACTGCCAAAGGTTCCAGATAGCCAGCACATCGTCAGTCTGACGAATCAGCTAGCCACCTACAAGAGCGTATTATGATGCCAGGAAGGTGCTCGAATACTACCTCACCTGCACAGTGCCAGTCTGCCCGCATGACGAAGCGGGACACTGGAGAAGGCGGTGGACCAAGCGGGGAACAGTTATCGGTGGTGACGAAAACAACCGATCCTACATCATTCAGACGAATGCGGGAATTCATCGTCGGAACCGTAAACATATACAAGACACCCCAGTGACACCTAGTGGGCAGAATTCTACGCCACCTCCATCCACACAGCAAGGCATAGTTGTGCCGGCAGCAGAGGAACCGGTTGTTCTTGAACAACCTTTACGCAACATTGCTCCAGGCAACAATGGTCCCGAGTCGAAGGAAGATGCAGATACAGCTTCACCATCTGATGTCAAGCAACAACCTATATGGTACCAGTGACCTTCACATCGAGTGGCCGGGCAGTGCGTCCACCTCACCGTTTCGGAGACTACAAGTGTTAGTTTAAGGCGACTAAGATCCGCTAAGGGCAGAATAATCCCTGGATCTGAAGTCCAGACAGTGGGCAGTCTACCCTACTGTCTAAATTAGTGTTAGGTGTCGTTTGGTTAGCATTGTTGAAAAGTTAATCTTTTGTCATTCAAAGACATTCATGCTATAGAATAAGATGTTCATCTCAAAGGAAACAAGATGTCATAATGATTAATGACGGTAGCGCCCTGTAAAAGAGTTGTCTATCCTTTCGTTAGATATTTTAGAGCCAGGGGGAGCTACGGGAGTTCGGCATGGCGGTTTGTAATCTCATGTTCTGCTCAGCTACGTTTCCTAAATAAAACGAATCTACATGAAGTTAAATCTCTTGTTTGGGTTTACACAATCATGACAACTACCTATTTACTGTGAATATGAGAATGGCAATATTAAATATAAACATTTTGCTACTGCGACGCTAGTACCATGACTTAATTTTCCTGTCCAAGATCATGGTAATCGTGCTCAATTGGTTGTAGTAAAACACGACGTCATACTCATAGTACCGCTGCATGATTCTGATCTTTCTCCTCTCTACTCTAGAAGTCACAGTACTGTACAGGAATGATCATGTGACCCCAGAATTGAGATTTTATTACGTTAAATGCTTTACATATGTTGTTTCAGTTCCCTACAAAACTTAGCAATAATCTTAATCTTCATGCATTTCTTGGCATACAACAAGGCATACACTAATAACTATTACTATTAGTAATAGTAATTAATTAGTATTACTCATCATAAATAAAAATAACTAATAGTATTAGTAATAGTAATACTACTACTACTACTAGTACTAGTATTACTATTAGTAATAACTAAACTATTCTTCAAACAATTCTGAAAAACCTCCTGGAACAATTCCTAGGATATTTTCTCCTTTCTGCAAACCTAGAATTTATGCATAACTCCATAAGCCTTATGATAAGCTTTTTTTGTCTCATGAACAACAGAGTAATAACATTACCACTGTCACTATCAGACAGTATCAATACGACACTAGACACTCAGTATCACTATCACTAGGGCCTAGTAATAGTAGTATCAGTCACCTTATTTTCTGGCACAACTTCTTCATTGCCTTTCGGGTACCACGACACTCGAATAAACCCCTTTTTCACGACAAAATTATCTTCATAATCATTCTCCTCTTCGTCGCTACTGACGTATTCTGAATTTTCTAAAACTAAACCAAATTCGCGTTCTCCTTTTCGGTTCGTTCTGTAAACAGCATCTTCCTCGAAAAATTTATAGGACGCAGCCATGTTGCTTGCCGAACTGTCTTCTGGGATGCATCGCTTAATCAAAATGGCCATGGCGATTGCAGACCATGACGATTAATTTCAAATGAAATTTTAATATAAAACACTTACGAAATTTAAATAAACCATTACGATATATGTATAAAAATTACGTGAGAATTTTTTTTATAAATACTTATAACTATTATTCAAAACACAAACAACAAAACAAACATTAAAGGGATATACTATAGACTCTAGAATTTTACTGCATATAACGGTACTTACTGTATAACAAATCGTTATACACGTACTCGTTACCAGATACCTAATTTAATTGTTATAATTAATTATACATCAACGCTACAAAATTTAAACGGCGCCATTGACACCAGCGCCCGTGCTGCCACCCTGAAAAAGTTGCGCATTTGACAATTTATTTTGCACGTTACAGACCGAGAGCTAATCACAAAAGTGCAATTATATTTATACCTAAATGCTATTTAACCGAACGATGTTCATTGTAGGACAAATTTATCGATAATATAACTGAAACTATATGTCGTTTATAAGATATTACAATCCTTTTGCTTTTAAATTAATAAATATCTCCCAAATCCCATTGGTTGATACAAATCCCGTGCCTGAAACTCCTGTTTTATGGTGCATTGTGACCCTAACCCTAACCCTATTAAAAAAATAATAATTAATTGTTGTAAAAATTATTTGTTGTTATTAAATTGTTGTAAATAAATCCCTTAATTGGAAAAAAATAGTTAAATGGATAAAGATAGAAAAATACAGAAAACAGGTAAATAATAAAAAATCAGATGGGATTCGATGCAGTTAACGACCTTTGAGCCGTGACGCCTGTGCTGTACCCGTTCGGCTATCCAGGCTTATTGCGTTTCTATATTATGGATGTGCCATGAATATGACAACACTGTCACGTCATTGAGGCAGTTGAGGAATCCATGTTTAACCCTCCTCTTGAGGGTAAAAAGGTTATCAGACACTTACTCTTCACATGTCAGTGGAAAGCACATTTCATGGTCTTTTCAATAAAGTGATAAAAATGGTAGGTCAGCGCTGAAACAAAAAAGTTTTTCACTCTGTCCATTAGCCCATGTCCTCAGAAAATGTCTGATATCTGACCTTTCCCCCACTGCCCTTTGACCTGTGACCTCCAATTTCGCACTGGTGATGAGTTTCCTGCCCATCACACTATACACCGAATATTAAGAGCATAGGTCAAGCCGTTAAGATTTGTGCCGCAATTCCGTATTCCCTCCTATACCTTAAGTTAAGTGGGAAATATTCCCCCTCCGTTTACACATCTTGACCTTTGACCCCAAAATTTGTCATCCCGATCCCCCCCCCCCCGACGTCCCTAATATCGTGACCATACGTCGAGCGGTTAAGATTTGTGCCCAACTGTTGACGGACAGACGGACGCACGGACGGACAATCATGCGATTCTACAAGCTGCATCTGACTTCGTCAGATGAGCTAAAAAGCATGACTAGCACACTTATTTACATTGTGGTCCTTGTTTTGCTATGCCTTGAATCTAACAATTACACTACTATCAGCACTAACTATTGAAATATACAAATTTGTAGTTTTAACCGGTCATACAATGGTACATTCTCATAAGACGATACAAACTTTTCTTATGCCTAATTTCAACTGAATTCTTTTAGCGAAAATCATACTCCTCTGCCTCTAATGTTTCTACCTTTTCCATCAGACATTTCTTAACACTATACTTAAAACTAAAATAAACAGAATTTGTTTACTTCATATTACTTGATTACTTTTACAGTATTTTATTTAACAACATATTTCAACGACAAATAAATACTCTTACATTACTGTACACCTATGCTAAATTGACGTGCAGTGGTAACTAGATAATGTAATATTCTAGATCTCTGTCAACAACAGTAACAAAGTACTATTATACATGGTATGCACATAAAATTACAATAATGCTATCTGCATTGCTTCCTCCTAAACAGAGACATTGCGAGATTTGGCATTGTTAAAACGTACACTATACTTAGATTAACTATCACTGCAGATATCAATCCCAAAATGCCATCGATTTCTCCTACACTAGAATGGTGCACATGGGCACACAGAAATATACCTTATAGTTTAACATGAACTCATGATATATATACATATATATATATATATATATATATATATTGATCGATATGTATACACTTGTATATGGTAAACTCATTGTATACATATGTTCATAGTAGTAATAAAAGTCAGGACTATCTCATAGCTGCTGGGTGAATCACATGATTTTAAAAGCTCACACAATGCTTAAAGGTAGAATGTGGCCATTTATCCACTACTGTTGGCAAATTCTAGGATAACAGACACTACGTGTGATTCATAAGTGCACGTAACCTCACCACCAAAATTCACATAACTGTTTAATTTTACCACACGTTACCTTACAAACCTAATTTTCATGCTGTTTGTCAACAGTCCAAGCTCAGTTCAAATTTACAGTTTGTGTCACGTGACAATAACAGTAAGAGTTAGCAAGGAAATGTGTGTCCCATATATTATAATGCAAGTAATAAGCCAATCATGCATATGGCCCAGCATGCATGCCAATGTGCCCGGTAACAAACCTCTGTAATTACACACACTTTGGCAGTAATTGTTATCCGAATTGTCAACAACAGCTGGTAAATGCAGATGATTTCAACGGAGACATTATTAGGAACCAGCAGTGAAAATGGATGAAGTAATAGAATTTAGTAGTAAGGTTATACACTTATAAATGACACCTTGTGTCACTTATTCTATGCATGGTGGTATGAGATTGCCATTGTTCTACCTTTAAGTTCTTGCTCACAACACATAGTGTGCATGGAAAAGGCCATTACTTCACTATCTGGTTTCTCGACATCAAGCTATTAAATTCTAAATTACGAATAATTTATCAGAACAGAAAACACCATTGTACATATTTATACGTAGCAGAATGACGGTAGCATCCTCTGGTATTTAAAATGGAGAATTCATGCCGAGCTTAGTACCGAAGTTTAATCGCTCCCTCTTCTGGAATCGAACCTCTAGCCTGTATTGTGAAAAACCAGCGACAAAGCATTAAAAAACTCATATGACTTAATTCTAAATGAAGTCTGTGTAATCCCATAATCAATGGTATAATTATAACTAATACCTATAATACTTAGAAATAAATATATAAATAAATCCGAGCACAGCATTGCTACCAATATCTCCTCATAGCTAATACGATAAAACTCACTTGATTTCTCGTCTCTTGACTAGCTCATTTATGCTGACGAGTAACAGTGGCCAGAGCAGTCCCAGCAGCCATGCAGAGAGTGGAATGTCAGTGATGGAGAAATTGATCGACGGATGAGTAGGTACATACACCAACAAGTCAAAATTGAAGTAGAGCAGCTGGACTGTTACACTGCAAGAAAATTGACAATTGGTCATCGATGCAGAACCTGTACTGTAGGTATAGGCAGGTAAATATTATTCAATAATTACCAAGAGGTAGCACAGATATGGTTGTTGGCATTTCCAATGAAATGTGTGTGCAATGTAGAGAGTTTAATGTTAAAATTTACCAAAGCCCATGACAAGTTTCAATGGGCTATATGGAAAACAATAATTTCTTTGTTGGATGCCCGCTTTGGTGCCATATACCATTGTTGTGAGTTTTTCGTTGAATACTTACATGGCTGGCATAACTATACACCAGGCCTTGTTGAACGTGGGTAATCGCTTCCACAGTTGCTCATAGCGGCTAAGATAACTCATTGATATGATCCCTATAAACAGAAAACAGACAAGTGTATATTGCCACTATACAACAGTACACTCTCTATACATCTAACGCAATTGTGAGAAGTAAACATTTGTATAGTGTATGCACCCATTAACTGTAAAGAGCATGGTACCAATGAAATTGCATGTCATCCCACTGCGATGACTGAGAAATGTGTGACATCCTCACCAAAGTAAAATGTGAGCAGGAATGCAACAACGTTTTGAGCAATAAGCAGTGCTTTGGAGTGGTCACTACTCCAGCCATTCCACTCCCCCGGTCGCGTGAAATTTCTGTTGAACAAACATATAATACATCTTAAAATTGAAGCTGAAAGGGCTTGTGTATCATTTCAACAAATTGTGTACTCATTAACATACCTTCATATTATTTTTATAATATGAAATATTTAATGTGATGATATATCTAAAGTCAAACATCATCTTAAATATTTCTTTACTTATATAACTCACTTTAAAAAGAATGAGATTTAAGCTAACAGGCCTGAACAAGCTTCTACAACAGGCCAAAATAAAGTATACAGTAACAAACTGCTAATGCTTAAAACATTCAACTCACCCATATCCATAAAAGAGATGGCACTCCTCTAATGAATTCGTGACCTTGACACAGAAGGCCCTCAACATCAGCACAAAGCAAGCAAGAGTGATGGCCACAGAAGGCAAGAACTTTGTCATGTAGAGCAAAGCAAATATGAGCATAGGCTGTAAATGGATATGAAAACATGAACTAAATATGGCAGCATACACAAGCAGCAAAACTTCCAGCTTTAAATACATCAAGACCCCGTATAAACTCGTGGCATTAGTAGATGGCTTCGCACATCAATAATTTTGAGCACCACTTTATGGAAATTAACAACTCCTAAATGAATGAAGAACCTAATTACCCGTTACGCAAAATACATGTAACGGCAGCAGATCATCATCATCAGAAGAAGACACAGATAAAGAAGAAAAGAGGAAAAGAAGAAAAGAAAAGAAGAAGAAGAAGAAGAAGAAGAAGAAGAAGAAGAAGAAGAAGACAAGGAGAGAAATAAGCCTGCTATAGACAGACACCAGATTGGCTAGAATAACCTGCCTTCTTCTTCAGGCCTTTAGTGTTCTTGCCAGTAGCCTTCATCATGATATTGTGCTCCACTGGCTTGCCAAACAAAGACACACTGAGCAGAGGCACCACTACACAGCTGAGCCAAAGCACTTGGGAACCATTCAGTACAGGTGGCAACAGAAATATGGTGGAGAACACCTAAAAGCATAACAGGTTTCCGTTTAACAGCACAACAACACATTCACGATCATTGTGAAATAACACAGTATGCACAACTCTTACGTGGAAATGAATATTTCACACATTAGAGAACAAACAAGAGATTGTGCAAATTCCAAACATTTATATATTAGGTATTCAGTAAATTCTGGTAAGTACAGTATAATATGTCACAGATAAATTAACAGCATATACCTGCACAAGAGTGAGAGTCAACTCACAACAGATCAAAAACTGACAACAATTGAGCAGGTTTGATGTGAAATTTCGAGCCTGCAAAGTAGAAAACCCAACATTCATATCATCCCTTTTTTCTAACAGCAAAGATCACAGAAAATACCCTGAATCATCGTATAATACAAACATTGTGCACATTACAAGTCGAAAAATAAAATGCACGTATGAAAATAAAACTCTCCTGTTGACCACTGTTGTACATGGTGCAGGCCCTGAATGCAGACATGGTGGCACACCATTACTAAGCATTGCTTTTATAATGTCCTATCGAAGCACTGATTGCCTAGACCTCACTGTCGACTACGTCAGGCGCACAAGTAACAGAGACAACGTTACCTGCATGACGAGTAGAAGAAAGGTGGAGGGATCCTCTTGCTCAAAGCTGACCGAACAGCTGATGGTATTCAGGGTCCTGCTTATGGCTATCGGACTGAGGCATGATGATCCCTCCTGACCACTGCACTGACCCATGCGTTTCATGCAGATCTCTGGTTGCATAGGCGTAATGCCAATGCTGCAACAACATCGGAGAACCCCGGTCAGGACCCCAGTGTAGCGCAAAATTCCTGACTTGCGATATACATGATATAGGATTAGGATGCTTATAAGCCAGAGTTTGATTGTTTAATTCGCATTGTTCGCTTGGACGCATTGTATTTTTTTTCTCAGCTCGCAGCTTGCAGCTCGCATAGCAGGCAGCTCGCACAGCATAGAGGCATGTCCAAGAACTAATCGATCAAACGTCGTGTGAACGCTCTCTTCAACGACACTCCGTGTCGTTTTTGACCAATTTGTTATCAACTACAATCTCTACCTATCAACTCTAAACTCTTAACTAATATAAACATTACAACACAGTTTGTGTTCGTCCAAGTGTACACAACCTATCGTAACACAAAGACGAGCTGTGATTGGTCAGGTCGGCACGCATGCGCATACGCATCCTATATTATGTATTTCGCACACGTCAGGCATTTCGCACGACACCGGCAGGCACGACGTAATGTAATCCAAGCGCACTCGAGCAACTGAGTGGGTAAAGTATCGCGTGTCATCCCGCAGTTTGATCACCTGATGTCGGCCTGCATGAAACATCCCGTATTGTGCATCTTCAGTGAGCTTCCTGCACAGCAGACGACCTCACCGTACTCCTGCATGATCTTGAACATCTCCCTTGTAGCTAGAAATCACCGGAAAAACACGAGTATGAACCAACAAGCATCTCTCCATCTCACAATCAGCAACTCACTATCCTCTTTCTCTCCACATGTGTAGTGTGTACACACGTGAGTTACTCAATTGCTCTATTACTTCCAGTCACTCCTTCTCTGGTGGTCTCTCTCTCTCTCTCTCTCTCTCTCTCTCTCTGTGTGAGACTATCAACTAAACCACCTGTGTACGAATACACCATTAATGCATTAGAGCACCATACTAATAGGTAAAGAGTCTGCACTGATGTTATAGAAATCTAACATCACCTTCCTTATAACTACAAAGACAGCAAGTCAGCGCTTACTGTCAGGAGTGCAGTCCGTGAAGAGAGGCACCAGCAACGGCACGTTGTCCACATTCTCAATGTGTGGGCGGATGTTCGCTATACCCTTGGGAAGCTTTGCCTGTAGTGTGGCCACAACACACTTGTGTTAAACGTGCAGCTGGCTTGTGCACAGTGTAATTTATACGACTACGTACATACCACTACATAATTATAATTGTGGCAAGTTCTACTAGTCAAACTGATGCAAGACCATTATAGGAGAGCTTAGTTCTAGAAGGTGATTAAAGGCACTAACACCCCACCTGCTACGCACACCAACACACTATACCCTTCTACCCCTACACCCCAGGTTTTAATCTTCTAACCCTAGCACCTCACCATCTAGGATTCTACCTCTAGACTGTCACCCTCTATGCTTCTACCCTTACCCTTCACTCTTCTACTGATGCCCCTCATCCTCTACCCTCCCAACCCAAATCCCATACCCTTATACTTCTAGCTCTTCACCCTCTACCCCTAAACCCTATACTTCTCACCGTATTGGCCATGTAGAAACCACCGGGAATGCTCTGACTGCTTGTGGTCAGGCGACTCGCTGAGAGCTCAGCGCCCTCTACCAGTATTGACTCGCCGGACTCGAAGATGACCTCGGCTACGTCGTCATGGTCAAGGATTTCCATCTCGATGCCATCAATGGCGCGCGGTGAGGTAACGTTGCCAACCGTAGCCTTGTCGTAGCTCTTGCATGCCTCACTTTCACCTTTCGCCTGAGTGATGACGATTCATTAGTGGAATACTATGATGAAGGAAGGAGTGAGGGAAGGAGTGAAGGAGGGAAGGAGTGAGAGAATGGGGGAGAGGACAAAGTGAGAGCCAAGGGCTGGAGGGAGGAAGGGAGTGAGAGTAGGAGGAGAGGACAAAGTGAGAGCCAAGGGCTGGAGGGAGGAAGGGAGTGAGAGTAGGAGGAGAGGACAAAGTGAGAGCCAAGGGCTGGAGGGAGGGAGAGAGGGAGTGAGAGTAGGAGGAAGGGACAGAATGAGGGACAAAGGCAGGATGGAGGAAGGGATGAAGAAGGTAGGGTGTGGGACAACCTGCGGTGAGGCGACGATTGCAAACGGTGGTCATGTCAATAGACTTACATGACTCTCCTTTGGCTTTTACCTGAGAAGTGATGATGACTCTTTAGTGAAACCCTAGGAGGAAGGGATAGACAGAGGAAGGGAGGGCTGGATCGAGAGAGGGAGCGAGGGATGGGAGGAAGCAAGGTATAGGGACAACATGCGTTGATTTGATGTTGTGGGCGGTAGTTCGTGGTTGTTGTCGGTCTTACACGACTATTTGCCTATGGAGTGACGACGATTCATTATTGAAACTCTAGGAGGGCGAGAGGGAGGGAGGGAGGGAGGGGGGAGGGAGAGCTAAGGTATGGAGGGAGCGTGTGGCATGTATTATGGGGGGTGCAGGGATGCGTAAAGGCGATGCTATGGGTGGTGATTGCGGGGGTGGTGATGATCCATTAGTACATAGAAGAGAGGCAGGGAGGAAGGGTTGAAGGGATGGAGGAGGAAAGGAGCGCGGGAGGGGATGGGAGGGAGGGAGGAAGGGATGAGGGGATGGAGGGATGAAAAGAACGGATGGAAGCAGAAGGGGAGGAGGCAGCAGTTTGGATGGGAGGAAAAACGCACAGGCGCGAGAGAGAGAGAGAGAGAGAGCAAGAAATGGTGAAAGGAAGGGGGCCATGGGGGGAGGGAGAGAGGGCGAGAGAGGGATAGAGAGAGGGAGAGAGAGGAAGCGAGGGTGAGAGAGGGTGAGAGAGAGCGAGGGAGAGACAGAGACAGAGAGAGAGAGAGGGGAGAGAGAGAGAGAGACAGCCAGAAAATATGGCAATGTTAGTGTGCAGAGAAATGCTCTGAACTCTACTGGCTTCTTACTTAGAAGCAGTTAATGTAACTTAACAGCTAAATCACAACATTTACTCACGTTTACACAGATCACATAAACATGCATATCGCTCCACGCACCTCTTCTACGCGATCTATATTAATTAAGTCTGGTGCACTGGTACAGAGTCCTCTGGTGGCATTAGACAGATTCAGCCCAACATTATAGCTCATCTGAGGTAAGGAACGCTGAGTGACAACGCCTGGGCTCTTTATGCTTGACTGTGCCTTACTCAGCAAAGAGATGTGACAGTTCCAGCCTGCCTCAAGTCCCATCTTCTCTGAGAACACCTGCAACAGAAAACAGCTTTATCACAGAAACTCACCTAATCACTGTTGCATCCTTCCAACATAAGAGGCTTGCTCATTAGTATTTGATAACAGCATGGGTAGTTTAAGTATTCATTCTAATACCCCCCCAAAAAAACTTACAATGCACCCATCTGTCATAACAATGCACCTACCCTGCTACGCAATTCACTCTCCTCGGAGAAATGCACAAAACGGATGCAGGCACCTTCTAGCTTCTCTAGCAGATCTATCATGTCCTGCAGGATTGACAGCATAAAGAAAATGACGTGAAGAAATCATCCCGTGAAGATAGTAATAGCCAACAACAGCTTTGCAACTTTATACTACTGCTGACCATACTAAATCGTCAATTTAAATCGTTTTCAATTGACCTATCCACTTGGAGCGAGTGATAGACAACTCTAGGCAATCAGCACTGCAACGACGTTCTAAAAACAATGCTTGCTACAAAACGTGCCGCCGAGTCCACATTTCGATACAAACTACATCACATACGGTACATGTACACACCTAGTAACAGTATCCAAAGGGTCATGGTTATCTCGTTTAGGTGAATAGGTCAACTGACCTGCATTTAAGCAAAAACAAATATTTAATTGGTATGGGTAGATAGACGTAACTCTGCGATTACAATAAATGGCTACCGTTTTTGCTTGGTATTGCATTGTGACCATCCCGATGAAGATCTCGTTGCGCTGAGCTTGAAAGACATTGGTAGCATCCATAAGGCCCATGCTGTTGGCCTTCGCCATAACGCTAAGCAAGGAGTCTTCGCTGAAGTAGCGTGGGTGACCAAAGCTCACCTTACCGTCTAGGCTATCAGAATCCCACGACCTGCAACATACGAGGCATACGATGAGTGAGGTAGAGTGAAGATCATATGTACTAATGACAAGTAACTAATGCCAGGGGCGTGTACAGGATTTGTACGGGGGGGGGGGTCTAACCGTAACCCAAACTTGCGAGCACGCGAAAGGAGGGTCTGGCCCTCCCCCCTCCCCCAGAAAATTTTGAAATTAGACCCCCTTAGATGCGTTTTCTGCGCGAACAGGGGAGGGGGGGTCCGAACCCCCTGGACCCCCCCCCCCAGTACACGGCCCTGAATGCAAGCTGCAAAACCGCCAGGCCATGCAGGGTATATAATGCTACTGGACAATGGATGTAGTAGAGGACAAGGCACATAATGCTACAGGACAAGGGATGTAAAACTAGAGGACAAACTACATAATGCTACAAGTACAGGCTAATGAATATAAAGTTAGAGGGTAAAGTACATAATGCTAGAGGACAAGGTTAAATGCAATACAGATGCACTGATAAGTGGGTTAAGCATAGATAATGCAAGAACATCCCAAAAACATTCTATTGTCAGATCGGGAAATCAGCAGGATGGAATGAAACCCAGTGAATCTACGCACCTGTTAGAGCTAGGACTCTGCAGGAAGGGATAATTCTCTGTGAAGTCCCCAGGGAGCTCAATAATCATGTTCTTGGTATCCATGGAGAGTGGATGTGTGATTGGACGGTAGGCAAATGCTGTGCAGTACGCTGCTAGACTGCTCCGATGATAGAAGTCGAGGATTCGCTTTCTGTTGACAGAAGACATCATTAACGTCTACGAAAACTGATGACGTTAAATCATAAATCTTAATAACAGGAGCACACGAGAACTCTTATATATTACTGTTAACAAGTTAAAATAAGTGTAATGAAAGATGCTATTGTACATTTTTTAAGCGTAATGAAATGAATGTAATAAGTAATAAGTGTAATGAAATAAGTGTAATGAAAGATGCTATTGTACATTTTTTTAAGTTGCTACAACATACGGGCACAAAGTACGTGCTAATGTCAATACCTATCTGCAGGCTGCAGCGGCACTATATCATATCCATTCCAGAGTTCACTGCAGCAATCTAATACCATATCAGCAGTGCCTTGTGAGAGAAGTTGTTGCATGCCTGCCAAACCCAAATCATAAGCAAACTCATACTTCTGTGTTATACAATGTAGCAAAATAGGTAACGAATTGCAGAACATGTTATAATCTATCACACAGAATTGTGAATTTACTTTTCAAATGAGATTAAAGGTCATGTGATGTGATAAGAAGCTAGTAATGAATTACAATATCAGTCTAATCGATAAAATCGTCAAATGTACCTGTGTTCTTCTCCCTAACAATGACTGAGAACATGTTTGGCAGTGGAGTCTTAAACTTGATAAAAGATTGCACCTTACGAAGGTAACGCTCCCTGTTCTCTGGTGATGACTGAAACACATGCAATCACAGACAACTAGGGTTGCAAGCTTCTGGGTAACATATGCAACCTTTTCTCCTTTACATTACACACCAGGAGGTTTCTGCAACATTTACACTAACACATATTTTTGCAATTGAATTACGAAGACTTGTCTTATTCCCATGAAAATTTTGTTATCACTGTACTAATTTGCTAGTGACTGGTTAAACACAGAAAGTTAAGACTATTACAGATGATGATTTTATCTATGCAAGTAGCCATCCTCATACATGTCTACCTATACGGAATGTCCGTAAGTTGGCTCAAAATTTATTGCGTGCTGTTTTGTTTAGAGAACGATAAAATAACGCATGAACACGTGCACACAAGTAAAGATAACAGTAAGTGAATGCAGACTAGAGACTGCAGAGATGACTCTCGGTTAATGAAGTGTTAATATTAAACTCAATTTTGTTGTGATTTGTAGATCCTAAGGATTTCTTATGGATTTTATGGATTTTTCCAGAAGGTTATACAGGTGGGCATCCGAAGGGGTTGACATGTATATGCATCCTGGCATATGTGATCTGTTTTCCACAGCTCAACATAGCATACTGTTACAATTAGCACTTTTCTACACTCAGCCTAAGTAATGCTTAACACAAAATTTCACACAAAATCAATATTCTTTATTAGCACGAAACTATATTAAAACTGCAATGCAATTTGGGTATTTCATTAAGTACATAGGATAGGCGAGGAGCACGCACCAGGTTTCTATACACAGCCAGCTGCTTGTCTAAACTGAATATATCCATAGCACAATCCTTGAAGCCAATCTGTCTTGCCATCTCACACAGACACCTACGAATATATACATATAAATTACTTAACTCAGGCTGTGGCAAGACCACTTCCACCATGTTGTAAATATAGTGAGAGGCAGTCATTGAAATAAAAAGAACTGATTTGAAATGAATGCCTTACCACATCCCTGGCTTGGTATCATTTTATATAATCTAGGACTTTACAGGTTATAACGAAATTATCACACAAAGTTAGTGACAATATTATATACACGTTTAGTTTCATTAATGTTAATACAGTATACCTTAAGTGCTTAAAAACGTGTGGTGCATGTGTTAAATAAAGGTTTGATACAAGTGTACCTGAAATGTGAGTAGTTACAAAGATTAGTGCTGACATTGATTTATTTACTATGCAGAAATCCACCAACGATAAACATACCAATGCTTGTTTTTCTCCAACATATAATTGGAAACACAAAGCAAGGATGCACTACTATAGAGCTACTAGCCTCGTTCACACGAGACCTCGTATTTCTGAAATACCGGATTTGCGAAATACCGTATCTGAGACAAATACGCGGCCGAGCGTTCACACGCTGATTCGCGGCTCCAGAAATACGGTATTTTCGAGCTGGGAGCTGCTTTAAACAATCAAGCGAACAATGCGAAATAAACAATGCAATGCGCACCCTGCCGATAACATACGTAGACTGGTCCGCGCTCGACAGTTCCACTCGTGTTACACTGGAACTGTCGAGCGCGGACCAGTCTATAAAATACGTGGCTCCAGAAATCCGGTATTTAGCGTTCACACGAGGAAATGCGCGGTCCAAGAAATCCGGTATTTCTCAAGCACGGCAAATTATTCGGGTTCTGGGAAGCCTCGTATTTACATGAAATACCGGATCTGTTTAGATACCGTATTTCTTGGGCCTCGTATTTTGCCTCGTGTGAACGCTAAATACCGGATTTCTTGCTACGTGTGAACGCGGCTACTATGTGAAATTAGAACACATCATGCCACAGATATAACAGGTGGCATATAGCTATAACAGGTGGCTATAGCTATAACAGGTAGCTAGCTATACCTACCACATCCAAAAGAACACTCTACCAGCATGATCATAACAGTACATAAGATTTTGGAAACCTACTCAATATTTTGTATATTATTTCATGAATCGTCTCTCGCTAAATGGCAATGGGTGCATGGTGATTCTAAATGAATTAATTAAGTCACAAGCCTCAAATGTAAATTAACCAAGGGAATTACATTGAATAGATTCTTTAGCACAGAATAAAACTAGATGGGAAATCTAAATATGACTGTCCTAGTTTATTTTTAAAAAGTCAATTCAATATGTGTGTGACAAAGTGCACACTCATACACATTTGTTTGAGATACGATTTAATTCGGATTTTGAAAGTCACTTGCTCACATTTTAGAGTGTACTGGCAGGATTTCTATCTTTAGTTTATTTTTAAAAAGTCAATTCAATATGTGTGTGACAAAGTGCACACTCATACACATTTGTTTGAGAAACGATTTAATTCGGATTTTTAAAGTCACTCACATTTTAGAGTGTACTGGCAGGATTTTTTTTATAGTTTATAAATTATGAAAATACAGTTATATATTTTTGTCCACTCGTTATCATGAACTAATATTAGCTTGGGTTAGTTTAATGCACCGATAATCAATAATTATGTTACGGCTTATAAACGTATTTTTATTCCAGTCCACCAATTAAACAAACATGGCAGTGCTCTGCTAGGTAAGCATTCACATTCCCATGCTTTACGAAAACACTTCAACTTATAAACTTATTACTGATTAGGTGTGCAGCAAATTGGCACTTCATACGGTTACCTTGGCAAAAATAACTTCGACAAACAAGACTGATAACAGGCATTTCTATCACGTGTTGCCACCAGCAGGTCAGCAGAATCACTGTTGAGGACAAGGCACCAACAAAATTAGTTCGAAAAATAAGGACGTGAATAGAAAATCCAGTGATAATTTCAGGCTTTTGTGAGGTAAAACTGAACTCTACAGCAGCCAGCCTCAGAACACAACTTGTTAGCAGTGACATGCCAGATGCATTTCAACAAGCAAAACATTTTCATTTCAAACTAAGTAAACGTCAGGCAATCACCGAAGTAATTACACATATATGCTTTCAAACAAGCTGATATTTAGAATCTACAAGGATAACTGTTCGTACACACACTGTGTTAGACATTTCCGTGATTCTACGCCTTGTGTTAAGGGTGTTTGGATGTTCTAAAAACTAAACGAGCAAGTCACAAGGTGAAACCTCCACGCAATTGATTCTTACCACTATATCAATGAGGCACAGCCTACCTCGAGATGTCCTCATGCTTATGTGCGCATGCTCATTATTATGCCTATTCCTTCTGTTGAGGTGTCATCAAGTAATTAACTTACCTCCTATTAACAACACCGATGGCATCCTTATCGCTCAGCGAGGCTCTATACACATGATCTGTGAACAGCGTGTAGAAATCCGAAGTCTCCGCGTTACACGTGTTAAGCAGCACGTTGAGGCCCTGAAACAATATGACGCCAAACCAAGGTCAACAGTCAACAAACAGACACAAGATGATGCGTTTTGCACTGAAACAAAACCTGGGAACTTTTTTTCCAACTGGCAAAAGGCAAACATGCCATACACTCAAATATGTGTTTATCGTTTACTGGAGACTTTGTTAACAATAGAACTAAGTGCAACTTACCAGTGGCTTGAGAGAGCTGATATGTTTTCTCCAGCAAGGATCATCAAACTCAATGCTGAAGGGAGTCAAGTTATCATGAGAGAAATCCAACACAACTACAGTGGTCTTTCGTGGCAACTGCAGATCTGCAAATACACACTATGCTTGCAAACACACTATGATATTTTCCCAACTGATATTTCTACATCTTATAATCCGTCTCATCATGAGGGTTAATAAGCATACATTTACAACTGGTTAAAATTGACATAACCATAACCTGTATGTATTCTGATAGAAAACGGAACAACCACGACCTAGTAATTTAATTCACGTTTTAATTCCCAAACATAAAAATTAATCACTGTGCAAACCAACCAAAGTTCTACATACACATATGTATATAATTACATCACCCAGACAATTAGCATAATTGCATCATATTGCAGATAGACACTATTTTCTCAATCGTAATCTGTTCTATAAAAACAACCATGATAAGAAATTACCATTAAACAAGTTACAGACTTTTGAAAAAGAGCTCCCGTGAATAAAAAGGCATTTTTTGCCTGACACCAACCATCGGGTCTGGCCGACTGCAACGGTGCGAGCGTGTCCTTGCCCTCGAAGCTATCCTCGCGAGTCTTGGCCGCAGTGTCGGTGACGTTGAGTGCGCTTGCCATGACTGAACCGGAGTCGCACGACACATCGTCCCCACCGCCGTTGTCGCCGCCGCCGCCGCCGCCTCCGCCGCCCTCCTCCTCACCCTTGTCTGCCAGCAGGAACACCTTCTCCGTAGTCGGATTCGGCCACGAGAGGATGCCCTTCTTGTCAATACAGCAGAACGCCTGTCGCACAGAAGAACAGACATGACGATACCCCCGATGTTGAACCGATCGTCGCTAATGACAGGGTGCGAAATTAACGGGATTCCGGAGTCAAATACTCCCTGATTTACTGTCGGACTCCATGATTTCACATATGCAGGAGTCCGTGCGACTTCCTGAAAATTCTGCTATATACTAACAAGAGCGTATAAAGAAGGAGAGCGTACAACGGTGAAATGCTGAAACCATGTTGCAGTATTAGTCGAATTAATAAACTTTCCCCGTTTTATTTTGACGATTCTTTTTATTATTGACGAGGCTGCCTGTAAAAAATTCCGTAGTAATGACGTAATGAGTCAGCGCCACCAGCGGCGACCGGAAGCAACACACTGGCCACAAAACGAGAGACAGTCGCAGTACTGACTGATCTGGAGTCGGTTTTCGGCAAAAATACCAGATTTTCACCGCTTATTATCTCAGCATAGGGGCATCGTAGGGACATGCGGTTTGTTTTATATTAACAAGGTAGGACAGCTGATCAATAATACTGCAAAGAATCGTAAAAATAAAACGGGGAAAGTTTATTAATTCGACTAATACTGCAACATGGTTTCAGTATTTCACCGTTGTACGCTCTCCTTCTTTATACGCTCCTGATACTAACTAGTTTGTTCCAGAGCACGACCTCGCCAAATTACCGTATTTTTTCAGCAAATGTTCAAAGAAAATTTGGCAGACGTGCAACCACATGAATCTTAAAAATAAGCAGATGCGTTATTGTGCTTTAGTTTTGAACTTCAGACTGCGGACTCCCTCTTTTTGAGGGCAGGGAGTTGTTGGACTCACTTGTTCAAAAGTTAATTTCGACCCCTGTAACGATGTTACTGATCAATTCAAGTTTCCGTCCTAATACATTAAATTTTTGGCCAGCAGTCGGCGCCTCGGGATTAGACTGACCGTCATCAAGTGGCGGCAAGATTGAGTGTCGAGTCTGGTGTTTTTCACTGTTCATGCCAAAATGTGGCACGGTAATTACAAAAGAAGTCAAAAGAACACCCACGAACATTCATCACTTTGAGTAGAAGCGTTTTTTGTTCATGGCTGTCCATATTAAATTTTTGTTCGTAACTATATACAGTCAGCAGCAGGGCAATATCGGGCATGAAACATTGATGCAAGAAATGTGGTATTCGAATTGAAAATTCCAGAGTTCAGGATCGCAGTCCAGCACACAGAACTTTTACTCACTAGAACGTTGGCGGACCCAAGAATGGGTCAACAGGGATGGTGGAGTGTGGTGAGTTTGGGACGGGCGGATTATTACCGAAGGGGGGGGGGGGACCTGGAAGAGCTGTGTGTAAGCTCTGCCAATAACAATATAAAATAATTTAGATAAAATCCAGCAGCACTTAATGTATAAGAATAGGCAATTTCCACCGTATAGTGATCAGTGAATTTGGGAAGCAACGAGAAAATGGAGGCATGAGATGCTCATAAATGACTGCCTCCGATCGTTTTACTCGTCTTCTGGTACTGAAGTCCTAGAAAGAAGGTTGGTGCGCAACACGGCCCTAATGGCCCTGTGGATACGCCAGAGAACTATAGAACCGACTTACGGTGGCGCTACCGAGCGCATGCAGGATGCTGGCCGTGCGGGGAAGCGTGCTGGTGCACCTGCCACGGAGAACATCGACGAATATCGGCAGTACCTCTCGCCACGCCACGTTCGATGTCACTACATCGGTGGTTTCCTCATCCGGCAGCGAATCATATGGAATCGTCTGAGCCTGCACAAACATGCATATTTTATGTTTCGTCAGCTCGACCAAAGGCAGCTCCCGGGCCGTCAACTGGCATCGCCCATATTAAACATAGACAGGTATCAATGTAGCCTTTCATTCAATTCTCGGGATCTTCTGTCAACATTACACTTGAACAGCAACACGTAGCGAAATAGGCACAATGGTAAATTCAATAATAGTTCACTGTTAATAAATTCAACTGAACTAAAAATAATGCTAAAATCTAGCGTGTTCTTATATATTTTACTGCAAAACTGTACAGGATACACATGTACACACTGCTCATGAATACCTTAGCAGGTAGCATGTTGTGGTACTCAAGAGCAGCCAGGACGGTAGCTATTCCGTAGTCTGTCAGAAGTAACCACATCACCGGGAACACGAGAGGCAGCAATGGAATAATGGCATCAGCCTGCAGGAAGAAAAATTCACAAATGAAACATACTCACGTGGCATCATTACATATATGATTATGATCTCCTCGACAAACGATGTACAGTCAATCTCTAAAGGTAATATTTGTGGTTTTCCTTGACTAACCTTTAAATACACAGGGTTGACTGTACTTCCGACAGTCTACAATGGATAAATCTACCTATACACCTAGTAATATGACACTTCAACATTCATCTAAAACCATTACCGTAAACAAATTGCAAAATGCAATAGGTAAACTTTCCATTATAAGCCTCACCTGCAAGAGGATGAACATTTCTGGCCACTCGCCAACATGCTTTCGTAGATAGACGAATCTTAGAGAATTAGCTATGATCATACATATCTGAAAGAATAATAAATTTTATGGAGGTTGTGTAGATAATGCGTCATTACTGTTACAGTCATGTTACAACTAATTATACAACTGCATGCAAGTGCATTCCAAATACTTGAATAAAATACAATTCTAGTAGTTCTCTTACCAAGACCAAGGGCAGGACAACCTTCTCTACATAGTAGGTATATACGATGTGTCTCGCCTTGTTTAGGGTACTGGTGGGTCTTTTGAATGACTCCCACAGTGCTATCCTTAAAACATTGGGAAAAATTCTACAATCAACCAACTTATCTCGTAAATTAAATTATGAACATAATCTCGCAAACAAATTCTATGAATTGATGGTATCCTTAATTTGTATGCAAGTGATATATGAAATATTCACTGTAATATTAAATGTTGTTCAAATTACAAACAACAACAGTGAGTATAGTTACTGAAATGCTACTTACATGTACAGAAAGAATTTTAAATTTTAACCATTTCTGCCTGACCTTGGTTTAAGTAATGCAAGTTCTAATGTAAAATGCACTAATGTGCCTTTACAGAGATGAAAAATAAGGATGAATATTTAAAAGTCTTATTATCGTTAAAGTTACCTCAGAATTTTTATATAGGGTGTTTCTAGAACAAGGAACTTGCGTGTTCCTAGTGGCTGCCTTTCTTGAGGCATGCAAAATATTGCATCCTGTCCCTCCATTTCAGGCATGTACAAATCCCCAGCAACTAAAGATGGCGTGTTAGATTTCTCAGCCATCTATATTAAAAGATAATTAATAAATTTAATTAATTTTAATATCCAAAATATTCACTGAAACAACAGTTTCTACATTTGACCTCCAGTCTTTGTCAAGCTGTACCGATCGTTTGCTTCAGTAATTATGTCTATATGGACATATGTATCCTCAGAAGGAAGACTGCTAACATATCTAATAAATTGAAATCCAATCACAATCGAAAATATTGATTCTCATTGAAAGAAAATAACAAAAAGTATTCGTCGTAACAGGTCATGTACCACATTCCTGGATTCATAAACTCGTAATTATATATACGATACACTCGGATATTTCCCCCCGATGTCTGTCCACAAACCTCTAGAGGCCTACAGCGTGCTGGGGCACTGTATCCCGGTCGCATTGCAATCACGTCTCCATGCACAAGCAGAGTCTGGGGTAGGTTGACTATGACTCCATCTCTGTACGTCCACTGCAGTGTGATGCACGGAGAGAGTGGCATGCGCAAGGCGGGATAGCTTGACGCATTCCATTTGCACTTACCGACCAAACCTTACGAATAAAAGTAAAAGTACAAAATAAATGCATTTATAGTAGGCATTAACCGATTCAATTTGTAATCAACTTTATTCAGCCAAGAATCCTCACAAAATATTTGCCTTGGTATTTTGCTATGACTGATCTGAGAATTAATAAGGTACCGTAGAAATACTGCCATACAACAGTGCCTCCTGATTACAATTAATCATATTATCTGCGAACGATTTTTGTCGTTTATGCACTGATGTCAGAACAACTACCTTCTATCTTTCTGAGCATGTCAGTGGCCCTTGTTAACATCTCACTATATGCTAGCTTCATGTCCAATCCTACCATGTACATGTTAACCATGAGCAGCACAGATATCACGCAGGCTTCTACCAGTGCCCCCATGTGTCTTGGCGAGTAGGAACTAAAACACACAAATTTGTCTACTTACAATAGTGAATTTAAATTTGAGTAAATGTACGATTTTAAATGTGAATTTTACATCTTACAATGACATTTATAGTTTACAAGAGGGTTTAGCATTTCACAACCGTAAAATATGTTCATACTATAGCTACACCCTCATGTCGGACACAATGGACACTAAATAAGTCGTCGCTTATAGTTTCTGCTACGAAGATGAAAATGGTATCTACAACTTACTCTTTCTCGTCTGTAAGAAAGAAGGCTACTAGGAGAAGTATGACCTCAATCAGCAGAATTGCAATGCTAGGCCAGTGCAGTGAGCAATACACGCTTCCATGTCGAAATAAATCTCCTTGCCATCTGTAAGAAATGTCACATCGCTATTAGGTTACCTCAGCAAGTGTATGGATAAAATAGTTAAATTATTGAGTACTATATCCAAACGCATTTCAGGGTGCGAAATTAACGGGAGTCCGGAGTCAAATACTCCCTGATTTACTGTCGGACTCCTTGATTTGACATATGCAGGAGTCCGTGTGACTCCCTGAAAATTCTGCTATACTAACTAGTTTGTTCCAGAGCACGGCCTCGCGGAACTACCGTAATTTTTCAGCTCATTTCCAAAGAAAATTTGGCAGACGTGCAACCGCATGAATCTTAAAAATAAGCACATGTGTTATTGTTAATCTCCTTAAAGGAATAATAGGCCCATTGATTATGCAAAGTTGACGAATGCTACAGTAACTGGCACGTTGTGTAGTTAATAAGTACATTACCTTATAGCGAAATGCGTATTAGTTTGTCCAATATCACTGCTGGTTACTAAGAAATGTCTAATTGAAATCCGCAGTCCAGGAAATCAGTTGACTGACTTGTCTACAGTTTCGAAACCGGATACGGCGAAACAGGTGTGATACAGATTTATAGTGCACCGGACATTTTTGCACGCATGCTCGGCCGTACGCAATGCTAGTGATAGTACAGTACCGTAACTGTATACGTAACAGTTATCTCTAATTGTAATGAACGTGGAATCCACGTACGAGTCACGGACGCTCGTGATAATGAAGTAGGCTGTGTTGGGGACCAACACTATAAGGGGATCGCAGACTAACCACGTCCACAAACTAAACATGGAAAGCAGACGGCACTACGCATATTTACGTATATTGGTCAAAGGAATACACCTGTGTCTGAAATTGAAGACATGTGGGTACCCGTTCATTAGCACCCACGGTTATTTACTTGGGCATCAATACCGAGAATACACCCAAAGATACATTCTACTAGCTCATTAGTCGTTATAAGCATTCCAGGACAAACAATTCTCTGCGCAACACCCGTAGAAACATGTGACGTCACCTAACTGAATTCGAGGCTATTTTGCTTGCCAACCAATTTAGCGTTGGCGCCAGATTACCAGATTTACAGATTTCAATTAGACATTTCTTAGTAATTAGCAGTGATATTGGACAAACTAATATGCGTTTGGCTATAAGGTAATGTACTTATTAACTACAGAAGGTGCCAGTTACTGTAGCATTCGTCAACTTTGCATAATCAATGGGCCTATTATGCCTTTAATTTTGAACCTCAGACTGCGAACTCCCTCATTTTGCTGCGGACTCTTTTTGAGGGTCGGGAGTCCAACGAGAGTCTGTTGGACTCCCGTGTTCAAAAGTTAATTTCTACCCCTGCATTTATTACTAATCAGTCAAACTAAAATTTATCAAGAGGATATATACATCCACTATCAAGTATAACCACGTTGGTGTTGGTGTTGGGTTATGTGCTTATCCTTTGAAAATCTGTATAATAATACAAGTGCCGCGGAGCAACAGCGCTCATCTAACGTCTACTGCGGTGACTCTGTGGTGGAGTGGTGGGATTCTAGTAAACCCTGTTAGTCCCAAATGTGTTCACATACACGCCGAAACAGTGGAATGCACAGGGATTCCGATGGTATCCATTTACCTAAGCAAGCCTACAGGCTGCACAATAGAGAGCTGCCACCTGTAACCAATTAAAGCAAAAACTCCACAGTACCACCA